GGCGATAAAATTATCTTCAAAAATAATGATCGCATTTCATGCAATTCCTTTCAAAACACTACATCAATTTTACGACTTCATTTTAAAAGGGGCAAACAATTAACTGCAATATTCTGGGGAATATAGACATCTTATGGTATACAATTAGCAAAACTATAAAGCACATTAAAAATCAAAACATGCTTATTCAGCTTGTTGTACATAGATTCTTTCTTGCTAACCTTCCAATATTTGTATTACTTGGAGGAATGAGTACAAGTAAGATCTAAAGTGAGGGAAGTGCTCTTTATGTATAAATTACTTAGCAACACCTCCTGTATCTACTGAAGACTTATCACCGAATATTGTTGCCTATTACTATTTTTGGTGGGTGTATCAGATGGACTACATTTTGCAATAGGGAACCATCATTTCTGGCTCATTTTAGAAACAACATATATGCAATTGGTTTCCCTAAGCAGAAATAAGCTTTTATGGAAAAGCCAGAGCTAGTGGTTCCTTATTGCAAAATGTAATCCAGAAATCCCTGTAGCAAATTTGATAGGATCAACTTCACCGAACATAACACTCAGTCTTTGCTCTGTAATGTTCACAGGATAAACATCAGTTAAAAATTTACGAACTAGGGGTGATCTGTTTCAATTTTCTTCACTTTTTTTCAATGAATGTTCTGCAGATATTACTTTCATTAGGGTTCTACACGAGCATGTGCGTTTTCTTCAGGCAGGAGTCTATGGAGCTCATCATACTTACTCAACTAAAAATATCTTTGAGTGCTCGGTATGCACATTAAAATATCTCTTAGTTCATTCAAAGGAGATTTTAAATAAAGAAAAATTTACCTTAAAATCAATTTTACAGCTTTGATTACAGGCTTAGATATTAAGGCCTGATTTAAAGGCTCAACAACAACAATTGATAATTTCAAATCTTGAAAACTAGCGATGAATGGTCTTAGAATAAAAATAGTATAATTCTCTGAATGTTGTAAGCCTGTAAGAAAAATTTTCTTGAAACAAACACGCAGAGGAATATGTTTTTCTTTAAAAACCTGAGCAACTGAAGTTTTCCTAAAAATCCAAGAGGGCATTTATCTAATTTGAAATTGCTCTCCTGGGGTGAGTATGGAGGTTACATTCGAAAACATTCTTTTGGCTACTGATCGAAGAAAAGATTTTCGACATTAAAATCTCATGAAAGAGACATTTACATACATACAAGAAAAACAGGCATCAGTCGGAGACATGAGTCCTCCTTACTACTTAAGGCCGAAAAAATTTAAATTAAGACCTTTATATGAGATGCCTTCAGATTCAGGGCACTCTACACGATTTCGTAAATGCTCTAATGAGTTATTGAAGTGACTTATAATCTGATCTGTTTCATCACTGTTCTCTAGGTTTGGTAGCTCAGAGCGAATTTTCCCAATGAGATCATTTAGTAGATCTACAGTGATTGCATCGTTACCTTTCTCGTAAAAATAAATGTATGAGTTCAGCAGCTCCGTGTAGAGCTGGACTTGAACTGAAAGGTCCATGCAATGGCTCACAATTCGTGCAACTTTTTTCAGACACTCGACAACTTTTGGTCCATTGAGCATCTCCTTTCCGTCGTTTGTTTTGCCTGACCAAAACAGATGTGCAGAAACAGCCACCGCTCGGGCTTGATCGGGTTTCTTTAAAAGTTTTGATGCGGCTAATGCACATTGGGTACAGATTGGTTCTGCGTTTTCAGCACTGAAACAGCTCAGGCGTTCAAAAACACCGATTATAAGCGTCAGAGCCACTAACTGAGCTTTGGATTCTGAAATGTCCTCTTCGTACAGCGAGAAGGCCTGAGAGAAAAATTCATATGCAACATTTTCGTAGCCATTGAAATCTATATTATTGATCGCAAGTGCACCCTGAAGGAAAAGCCTCAAGGGCAGCTCATAATACTCTGCTTTGACAAGTGCTGTGATAGTCTGGTGGCAGAATTGAAATATTTTAATGCACTTCTTCTCCCAATTGGGATCCAATTCTCGGATGGCAGAGTATGTGAATGCTAGCTGGTATGCCTGGAACACTATCGAGGGGAGGGTATGCTTGATTCGTTTAGGGCCGCCTCTGCCAAAATGCTTCCGTGCTGCGCTCAGAATTAAATACTGTTGGTCTGGATTCTCAGACTTTAGATGGTGAATAAAACGCCCAAGTTGGCCTTGCTCTTCAGCAAAGTCTTCGGGGTCAGGATCTGCTGAAGGCTGATCTTCTTGGTCCGTAACCATTGGCGAAATCATCGACAGGATCGCATCGACCTGTTCCGGCGTTGAGATCAAAGTTCCGTTTTCTAGCGCACTGTTTACAAGTGCCGATGCAATCGCACTGCGCCCTTGATAGTCGAAGCACACAAGCAGACGAATGTAGTGCTCCAGCTCCAGGACTCGCAATACATCATTATATTCGTCGATGGGGATTTTCATAAGGCGTGTCAACTCACGGGACGTTGCACTATAGTATTCAATCCTGGAAAATAAAATCCTATTACTTGTGATTCATTCTTTACTCCATTAAAATATGCAAAAAAAATAAAAAGTATGTCTTGATAAAAAGACTAAAATCTCTTAAGTATGTGCTATGTATTCCAAGCTATGGATCTGTATGGAGGGTGGATCCATTGAAGCATGTGCAAACTGTAGGAATTATGGAGCTCTATTGGAAAATCAATTCAAACTGGAGTTCCTTTATGAGGAGTGTTAAGACATCTCAGGTCCTGGTGTCACAAACTGACAGAGAGAGTATATAGCACTAGGAAGCTACGCCCCCTGGTCGCTATATAGTATGGAATATTTTTTGTAATCTTTGTGACAGTTTGTGACACCATAGAAGCCTTAAACACGGGAGAAAATCAGAAGTGGATTTCACACCAGTAAAAACTGAAAAACCGCATTTTCTTTATATTTATTTTCTTTTAAAACTATTTTGAGCATTAATACATTCCTTCCGCATGCTCTTATTATGTATTACCTTGAATTCTTGAGCTGTCAGAATTCATAGTTTCTTCTCAGAATCTTGGAAAAATTTAGAGGAAAGAAGTTTCCAACACTTCTGAATCCTCATGAGCTCAGATTCTATTCAGAAATCCTTGAATGGCAAATTCTTTACAGCTTCCCAAAAACGGTCTTTTCCACACTATTTTCTGCTCCCTTACACTCATTTTCCTCCATGAATGGAGACAGTAAAATATTGAATACAAAAAAAGGTTTACCTGTCTAAGCTGAGCTTCTCAAAGATAGCCACAGTTGATTCCATAACTTTGTCCACATAGTCAATTCGATCTGGATAGCATTTCAAGGCTAGATCAAGGAGAGAAACTTCTAGAGAGACCATGTCCTCAACTAACATTTCATGCCGACACTGGAAATTGAAAAAATGAATATTTAATACCTCATCTCGGGATGGCTGAGCAATACCTTATTAGTCTTTAAATTATTTCCTAGCAACGATAAACATACCAAAAACAATTTTTTTCTCAATTGCCAACTTATTTAAAACGAGAAAAAAAGGCTGGATACTTACTTGGATGATAGATGCAATTTGATCTGAAAATATGTCAAAGAGCTGAGCAGTTTCTGGTGATGGGTTTTTCTGCGTGAAGGTGGCTAGTCGATTCATTAGTGATATTATAACATTTTTCACATTAACTCCTGCTTGAAGTTCTGAACACGATTTCAAAAATGCACTCAACGTTGCTAGATGTAATTCATCAGGGAAGACCTGTAAATTAATGATGAAGATAAAAATAGAAATTGGAGAAGAAACATTTCTGCTTGAAAAGAAGCAAAAACCATCTAATACCACATATGTTGTGGATTTGGCTCTGTTGCAAATCGGTGGTAATACGTGTACTAGAAATATTACTATTTAACTTACTGACACCAGATTAGGCAGAGCATTCTCACACATTGTGACAAGTTATCATTTTCAAATGGAGTTTCAGAGATGATGTTAAAGTCAAAATGCATATGCCCTCCCAAGTAAAAATTTGTGAAAAGACAAGAAGTTAGCATTCAGTTAATCTAGGCCATATCAGAAAATCAAACTGCACTGGGTGGCGATGGGTTTGGTCCATGAATATAATAGTACTTTGAGCCAATCAGAAGCATTCTTAGATGAAGCACAAAGGAATCAAAATTTCAGAACTAGTTGGTCAACTGCATTGATCACAGAAGTGTGTTTCGATAGTTCAAGCTCATAGATTAGCAAAAATAATAAGACCTGTTTGAACAGCAAGCTTCAACGTCCAATATTAACCAAGCTATCATTCATTGAAAAACATGGCGTATGATGTCATCCACCATAGTAGTACAAAATATGTTTTCTTCCACCTTGTTTTCATCCTTGTTTTATCTCGAGTAACCATAACAAATGAGTATATTACTGATTGAGGAGAGCAATATGGTATAAACCATAGTATACAGGGTGTGCATACACAGTGTTTTGCGGGGAACAATACTTTCCTTAATATTAGACGTTATTCCTCTGGAATTCAGTAAATCTTTTGAGTCCAACTGATCCTGATTTTCACATCGCCAACTGTATTTAGCTATGTTTCAGGATTGCTGTGAATTTCCATTAATAATTTCTTAGACTTAGCCATGAGACAAACCCACCTCTTTAAGGTAGAAAAGAGAGTAACATACCTGAATTATGCATTCCATTAAATATTCTTGTGCTATTGCATCCCTACAGCTGACAACTTGCTCTAAAATTCCCGGCAGAACCAACTGAAACAGGGACACAATACATAGAGGTTACACTAAAAAAGTTTGATGCTACTTATGATGAAGCACTAGACAAGGTCACAAATTAAACATCAGAATATATCATCTCATCAAAGTTACTTACACAACGCAGTGGCAAACTAAAAATTTCCAATTTTCACTTATGAATGAAAGATCAGCATTTTCTGTTTAGTTGATTCAAACTTTTCACTCGTCAAGGAAACCAAAGTCTACAACAATTTAATAGGACACTCACGCCTTAATTCAGTAAGTTTTGCAATTAGGTAAATAATTTTTCTTCTGTGCTGGCTCTTTTGACAAGCTTAGAACTACGATCAAGGGAGGAAAAAAAGTTTGTGAAACATAAGTCTAATTACATGATGAATGATGAGTTTGGTTTGCATGACAGATTAAACTATCACTAATTTTGGTTTTTTCAGCAAGAAATAAAATATAAATTCTTTAATTCTAATGTAAACAATGAATACAAATCTCTCTTAAAACTGTTGATTACAGATATTTTTAGTACATTTAACATGCTCTGGATGAAATTTTGATGAAAAAACATATTTTGTGGTACTTCAATTCTTACCCTGGTGCGAGATAGGATGACTAAATGTAATTGATCTGCATTTTAACAACATGCTGAGGCTGAATGTCTAAAGGCTCGGCAGAAAGAAATTCCCTGACTTTTCACATCAACATTTTACACACTTAGAGAAATTTTTGACATGAATTTTACAGCAAGTGACAAAAACATACGAACTTTTCTCTCCGATATTAATCACTCAATTTACAGAAATTGCAATTACTTCTTAACAACTATACCTCTATTCACTTTCTAGAGTGTAACTTGGAGCACAGAACCCCAAATCAAGCTGAGACTTGGTTTGATTGTGTGGATGTAGCTAATGATTTTACAGATTTCACACTTCAAGAGTTTCTGAATTTCCAGTCTTTCTCAAGAAAATCTCTCGACTTTACTTTGGTTTCCCTAACCTGATAAAATTCCCTGACAATTTTTGGTTTTCCAAACCTGCAGACATCCTGTCAAGTATAGGGGCTTACGCACGAGTTACCTCATACAGCGCATGCTGCACGCCCTGGTCTACGCACGAGTCAACTTATGTTGTGACTACCGGCCAGAGATTCCCTCTGACTCACTGTAACCAGTGAATCAAGAAGCATTTGCATTCTGTCGGGAAGGATCTGAACTACAACTTTAACCTATTTCCGATAGAGTGCCAGGGTCGCGGGCGGCCGCGCAGAAACCTAGGGCTCAAAGGGTTAAAGGGTGACTTCAAGGGGGTTGGGGGGGGGGGAAACTGTGTTCAAAAGGTATATTGCGGGCATGTTGCCTGTTACTTCTGTTTCTGTCAACAAAATTGGCATGATTTTAATTTTTTTAAATAGACAACCAATATCTCTATCTTACTATGATTATTTTCCACTCTGCTTGCTAGTAGATAGAAAATTTACTGGAGATGGTATAGACGGAGACTTCTTGTTTCTTTGAGAAGTAAGTTGAAAGGACTGCAAATATTTTTCTCGGCATACTGAAGTTTGCCAATTTTAGAATCGTGGCATTCATTTTCGACTGCAGGAAAAAACTGATTTTTGCTGGTTTACTGAAGCTTTTACTTAGTTCCTCAACCGCCAGGTCATTTATAATCTACTCTGCTTCATCATGAGTGTCAATTGCTTAACATCTAGATACATCAGAGCACTCTATCAGCTCCTCTATCATCTCGCTGATTATATAACAGCTGTTTGGGGCAAAAGTCGAGGAAAGAGTCAGCAAAGAAAGAATGCACGGAAAAAACCCTCAAAAAGTTAAATAAAACACCAGAGAAAATATAAAAGAGATAATGAGAAATGAGAAACACTTGACATACCTTCTTATACAAGTCTAGACTGACTGAGTCTAATTGTGATAACCGAACAAGGTTGGTTCCAACTAAAATCTTTAGCTCCTCCCGCTCTTGTTCGCGTCTTTCACGCTCTCTCGAGTGTCCCTGGTGTTGCATACGAACCCAGAGCTTGTTCATCTCAGCAAAATTCATCAGTACAAAATCAATAGAGTCTCTGACCTGAAATCAAAGTCAAAATAGTCTAGAAAATGTCTAAAATGTATGTATATATGATACGGTCAAATCCCCGACAGCAGGGTGGGACTTATTTTTTAAGTTGACAAAACCGAATTTTACATTGTCTTAAATTATGCTACACAGAGAAAAAACACAAGTCAAGAGGATTTTGAAGATAAATTATTGTTTTGACTCGTCCTGAAAGAATGAGATTTATTTCGGATTGGGGCATTTTAGCCATTTGAAATTGATTTTTAATACTAACGACAAAAGTTAACATTAAAAATCTGTGGATTGGTTCGAAATAGTGCAAGCTAATACTTCATAGATTAAGGTGGTATTTTTTATGTTTGCTTAATTTACTCTCCCTTTGCCGGAAAAAGTCAAAACATTTTCTAGGTTTGTACAGTCAAACCTTCCTAACTACTGACCTATTTGCGAGACCCGGGTTTGACAAAAAGGCCTTGGTCAAACATGCGTTTGACTGAAAAACGGGGTTTAGTGGTAACATATGAATACATTGCCAGAAAAAGGGGACAAAGCCAAAAACCTAGCTTTCGGTAAATTGCGTTGGAAAGTTTGATTTGTTTCTACAGATACATAAGTGATAAAATCGGGCAACCTAAGGTCAATTCCAAAGTAGAATATGTTAGAGTTTGAAATAGTCACAACCTTAAAGCGGCAATGTGAACTCGTGTTCCTCAAGATTGCAAAACATGCGATTGTGTCATGTTCCCTTTTTCAGGCAAACAAATTTTAGGAGTTAATAATGCTGAAATATTCGGGTTGAGATCAAACAAACTATGTATTCCTCCAAAAATTAACATAAAATATCCTCCCTGACATTATTTAATATATATTTTCATTAGAATAAAAAGAAAAATATAATTTTGGGAGTTTACAGATTGTCTAGGAGGGTGCATGATGGTTGGATCCATGATGTGTGTTCATCCTTCCCAGAATTTTTATTCACACTCACGTTAAATACCTTGAGTAAATTATTGCTTAATATTTTTGATGAATTATGTTGACTTGTGGCGGGATGTATTCATTTGACAGAGAATCCGGACATAACCGCGTAGGTTTATATCCCCTTCTTCCGGCAAACTCATCCAAATATAGAAATCCAACCCATTTGACCAATCATACCATACATTAAAAGTAAGATATCGCCATGAAACTTAGTGGACGTACTTTTGAGGATATGAAGATTCGAATGAGCCAGGTACCAGAAAAAGGGGACACACACGTACATCCCCTTTTTCCAGCTATGTATTCATACGTGCACATGACCCCTCGAGTTAGGTTAGAACTGATCTGTTTTACCAAAGCAATTGTCACTTAGAAACTAAATTTTAATGGCATGTGGTCGAGCAAATTTTTCAGTACTTTCACAGGCAAATATGTCCTTTTCCCCCAAAAACCTAATCCACCAATTACACATTTATAATTTTTCTGCCCTTTTCGTTAATTGCTGCTTTTCTCAGTAACAGTGCATTTCAAACACTTATGTCAATGTTACACTGGTAGTACCACTAATCTTGGTTTTGTTTTAATAATTAGAGCGACTGAGACTCACAGTTCCTTCAGGGGTCTCCGCAGCGTTGGGGTCATCAGGAGTATCCGGGAGGACATTGCGCATGCACTGCAACAGGTAATTTCGTAGGAACAATCCGCGCAGTGGATGCTGTACACCTCGACACATTTCTACCAGATCCTTCATTAAATCCTTCTTCGAAGATGAGTTTGTCTGAATGTGGACTAGGCCAACAGTGATTAACAAATACCTGAAACAGATCCCATAAATTACCTGAGGTGCCACATGGTGTTACGACCTTCTGTGGAGAGTTCCGCATCAAATAAATTGACAACATCATCAAAGAAAAAAAAAGTTCAGCAGAAAATTGTGAGACTCTTTTCAATCTCTCTTCCCTGGCATGACTTTAAAAATAAAACCTTTATCTCTGAAAAATTAGACTTTTCCACTGATATAATACTATGAACCCGTGGTTTCCAGAACAATCTGACAGGGATCCCCTGTTTTTAATTTTTCTCACACAGGGTTCTTCCATTTCACATAACCAGCCAGTCATGTGATACCGAAGTTTCTGCACACCAGGAAAATGACAACATCAAAGAGTTACTAACGTAACCTTTGATGATGAATAATAACAAGCATTCAAACAGGCTTGGAATACCTGGATAAAATTGGTTCTGTGTAATTTGATGATGGGTAACAGTTGATTATAAAATTCTACGTTTAATTGAAAAAATTCTTAGAAGTAAACTGATTGAGAGTTTTGAAAATAGAGAGTGAGCAACTTACAGCCTTGGAACTATATTCCCAGCATATTGAACTATTTCGTAGAGGTCTGGGATTTTGCGATCTTTCTGCTCCTTCCGGAATTCCTCCAACAGGTAGCTTTCGAGGTACCGCAGTTCATCAGTTATGGTCATATCTATGTATGCATTAAGGAATGACTGGGTACTAAAAACTAATACAAATTTTAAAAAAAAAAAGTTTACCCTCTTTTTGGTACGGAGATACTGAAAACGTAACTAATGTCAAAGAGTCCTTCCGTGCAGCTTGCCTCCATTAGGTGTGGTAAGCTTCCCACAAAAACAAAAGAAGAGAGAGAGAAGAAAAACAACGAAACTAGGAATTCAAAGCTGCTGTAATAAGTGATTTTATAGAGAGAAAAAAATAAATATATATGTAGAAATATGTGTTGCACTTTCATTCAGTAATCGCCAGAGTCCACTCCTGGGGTGAAAAAATGATATTTTGCAGTTCACTCAAACAGCATGCATGGTTGACAACACTATTTTGCACATTAAGTATTATAAAAACCCTATTCATGAAATTTAAGAACAGAAGGTGCTATCCACTTGCTATAAGATTTGTAGATCTGTATGAGATTAAAGGAAGTCATGTGCAATATTAAGGGAGCCTCTCTCATCTCATTTTCTTAGTGTACTAATGGGTCAATTGCGCTGGTCACAGAATCGTGTTTTGATGCTTGATTATTTTAGATCAGCAAAAAATCATAAGATCTGTCCAACCCGCAACTTTCTACGTTCAATATGAACCGAAATATCGCCCATTGAAAAGTCCGGATTTTAACGTCATCCACTGCGGTAGTGACATCCTTGGTTCCTTTTGCCTTGTTTTCATCCAAGTTTCACGTTGAGCAACCAGTGTATCACTGACTGATGAAAGCAAGGTGGAGGAAACCAAGGGTGTCACTATTGCGGCGGATGACGTCAAGAACCTGACTTTTCAGAGGCCAATATCTCTGTTATTATTGAACGTAGAAAGTTGCAGTTTGCACAGATCTTATTATTCTTTGTTAATCTAAAGGGATCAAGCATCAAAACACGATTCTGTGACCCGTGCAACTGACCTATTAGTTGCAGCAAATTTTTGATTGATCTTTCAAGCCTGATTCATGGAAAAATTCAACTCAATTTTGCACTCTGATGTTTTATTTGAGTCTTTATCTTAGGATCTTGATGGGATCAAGAGGGTTATCCCCAATTTTCCATGATCCTCTTATTACCTCACAAAATGTAAGTAATGTTTTTTTTTTTTTACATTAAACTGAGACTAGACTTTCCTACGAAATCATTTTCAAAAACTAGAGCCATCCTCCTCCTTTTGATGACCCCTGACCTTTTCTGATAATATTTTCACCCATCCTTTCATAAAATTTGACTGGTATTAAATAGTTGATTCTCCTTACTTATTCTAGACAGTACATTTGGTGTAAAGTTACCTAGAGTTACTCAATGTCAATGATGATCCTTCAAAAAATTGACACTCTGTGAGCATGTTCTTCTAACCATTGATGAGAATGGAGTGACACCTCTTAAGAAAAAAATCAATTGATACTTTGTTATCTGCAGCCTCTACCAGAACTTTTAGATGGAGCACTAACAAAATGGCTCTCCAAGTAGAATTCACTCCTGTCTTTGATTGTTAGGCATATTCTGAAATGCTTATTGCATAATTTTTAGAATAACCTCCTCAACCGGAAGGCAAAATATGAAAAATTCAAGTTCACTCGTATATTTTCTATGATTTTTTGGTTCATCTGAGAACTACTTAGGAATTTCTGGACTATTTTTGAAATCAGCCGATAGAGTATAACTTCAGTTACACATGCAAGGAGTCTCTCAGTCCTTACTAGCAGGTCAGCAATTAGTCTACGAATTTTTGCTAAGATTTCATAAAACCTCATTGATAAATTTTGAGAAACAGACTGGCAAGAAAAATTGAAATAAAGAGATACAGAATAAAATATTAATTTTTGAGCTTCGATGGATGGATTCTTGGGAAGATAATTGCATCGATTCTATGGTACCTATGAAGTCTGCACTAGAGAATAATCACCCCTACGAACAGGAACTAGCTCCACCCTGCTTGGAATCAGAAAAGAGTAATCGGAATTTTAATCTATGAATGGGTCATTAAACATTTTTACAGATAAAACTTTATTCTGTTTCTTCCAGATGTGTAAAAGGTTGAGAAGGATACAAAGCTCGTAATAACTCTTGGGAGAGAGTAATGATGTGCGAAGTTCACTGAGCATACTGGACGCATGTTTCAAGCCATCCATGAGCTTCTGTTTGTCAAGACTCATTTTCATCTGATGCGCCTGAAATCGAACATTCGTCATTGCCTCCTCGAGCAACTTCTCTTGTTCTTCTAACTGAGGCGTCATCTTGTCTTAATCAACCTGATACAATACCTGTAACACATGCAAAAATAGCAACTTTAAAAATCACACTTATTGAGAGGGAACATACCCTAAGGAAAAAAATAATTTTTGCAATATCTTCATTACCATTGATCATTCTTGCAAGTAATTTGAGACCAGATGAGAATGTACCTTAACTTCAAAAATGATGGGTAAATAATCAGCAAATTCAAACAGTGAAGAGGAACTGATATAGAAGCAATAACCAATGATAAGGTAGGTGTCTCGCTACGCTGTAAACTATCCTAGGGAGGTTGTAGCTTTCCTTTAACTCTATCAACATCGCTCAACCTGTTCTTTCACACTGATCACTTACTTGATCATAACAGAGTCAGGAAAAGAAGGAACCTGGCAAAGAAGCGCTGCTAAATCTAACGAAGTTATACCCCACCGCCCAAAAAAATACAACATTGTTCATTGTAAAGCAGACTCAGAGTAAAATTTGAGGAAATATTCGGAACTTTGTAAGAAAATTTTCGGTAGTAAATCATTGCAGTAATTGAAATGCAAAACTAATCTCCATGGACAGGAAAATTTTGTTTCATCAAACTTCTCCCTGAATTTCCCTTTCCTTATCCCTCATTGGCTTCTGAAATTGACCATCTTTGTTCATTCAGCACATGCTTAAGATCTGGCCAGGATTCTGAGAAAAAGCTAAGGTTTTTAGAAAACTTGGATCTGAAGAACAGGGCCGGATTTACCCATGGTGCATAGGTGTAGCTGCACAGGGCACCAGATTTTGAGGGGCGCCAAATTTTAGGTTTTTTTCTTTTCCAAACTCTGCAAAAAATTGAGAATTGTGTCGAAAGTTTAGAAACTCTGATTGTTCATTGATTGTATAAAGGCAATGGAGACACACTATCTGATTATCTCGTAAGTTATTAACTAAACAACATTAACAATGTAAATATTGCTTGTTATTACTCCATATGTGCCTTATGAAATGCCTATTTTGGTCCCACCAGAATTTTCTTCTGCAAAATTACATGAGAGAGCCATTAATTTATTGCATTCCATCTTTTAAATGACCTGACCCTAGACTTTAAGGGTAAAACTTTCTCTTACTTTCGTAGTTAACAGTAACAGGAACAGGTACAGTGGACTCTCGATAATTCGAACCTCGATAATTCGAAAACCTCGTTAATTCGAAGGAAAGTCCGTTTCCCTAGGAAATCTCTCGATAATTCGAAGAAAATCAATGTATTTTTCTCCCCTCGTTATTTCGAAATTTTTAAGCTGCGGCTCGACCCTCTATAATTCGAAATTGCGACAAAAATTCTCTCTGTAATTCGAAGTGTGGGAAGTAAATATGGTCCTCCCTCTATAATTCGAAATAAGGCGGTACATTCCCTCTACAATTCGAAGTCAACTGTTTATGTACCTGGGTGTCTGAAAGAGCTGATAGGATTGTCAAAATGTAAACATGTACCTAATAATTTTAAAATTAAATATAAATAATTAATACTTAATAATAACTTAGTGTAATTTTCACCTCCGTAAAGAAATAAACTGATATATTTGGTTCCTTTTGACGTAAATCCGTCCATTTGCCTCTCTACATTCGAACCTCTATAATTCGAAATCCCTCCGCATGAATCTCTTTAATTCGAACTCTCTTTATTTCGAAACCTCGCTAATTCGAAGAAAAAACCGAGTTCCTTCAATTTCGAATTATCGAGAGTCCACTGTACCTGGTTTTGGTTTCTGCCCCAGAATCATTCACTTACTCGAAAAATTCGTACTTAGTTAGAGTTAGCACGTAGTAACCAAAGAAGACCGTCGGGTTGGGAAATGCGCCAGCGGGGGAGGGGGGGAAGACGTGCGAGGAGGGCGCCTCGAAAATTTCTGCACAGGGTGCCAAACCGTAAATCCGGCCCTGCTGAAGAAACAGAATCCTGAGCACAGCCATTGCCAGCAAGGGAAGGTCTGATTTGCCCCGCAGACTCAGCTTCTCACACCCTTTTTGAGTGCGATGCTCGGAGAGGCTTGCGCTCTGTTTCTCTCATTTCAAGAGCAAGACAAAGTTGCGCAACATGGAAGGACTCTGCATGTTGCCTTAAACCACTGTCATCGTTGGTATGCAAACATTTTTGCTACACTGAGCATTGAGCTGAGCAAAATTCTCTCCTCCATTCAAGCATTGATATCAAGGAAAGAGTACATGGAGTCGTGATACAATGGAGCTAAGGTCATGTTCTGGTTCCGAGTCCAGTGTGCGCCGAGATTTAGTCACCTTTTCAATACATTTCCGATCCAAAATGGCAATGCGTAATAATTCATAACTTTCTTGTTCCGAATGGAGGAGTGCTCATGTATTGAAAACAGTCGAAAATGTATCTAAATAGTGACACAGCACCGCACAGAGGCCATGGAAATCGGTGACTGGAAAATGCTTAATAGGGGCGCTGCTCCGCTATTCCTATCAAGACTCTATTATATCTATCATACCAGTCCTTCATCTTTCCTTTGATGAAACATGCCAATTTCTGTCCACTTGCTGCATCAATGAGATTAAGAAGCACTGGCTAGCAGCTCAGTTGTAGGCAATCATGTCTTTGGTGTCAGTTTGGGATGGATGTCCTCTACAACTGTTACCAATGTCTCTTGACAATGGCTGTTTGACTCTGCCAAGAAAACCTCATGATGCAACATCCAGGGGGGGGAATTCAGTTGAGGAAAGCAGTCATGCATCATCGATTCAATCATCCGCTATTCACTGCAGTCCAGTCAGGAACTAAAGGACCGATTTACAGAGAAAATCTTGCCCTTCGTCTCTAGAGTTAAGTAGCAGAGTTTGAATCAACAAAATTCTAACGTAAAAGAATAGAAATATGGGGAATAAACTCTGAGATGATGAGAATACTCACAAGAATAATTGTTCAGTTTCCTTCGAAGAAAAGTTCCACCTGATAATACTGCACTGACCAGCCACTATTACACTATCTCAGACATTATCTTCGGCGGTAATTTACAACACATGGAACGTTAAAAGACGAATGACACTATTATTTTCCTGAAAAATCGCTGAGGTTTGAATTATAAATAATGGTTACAGCTTGCAGCTGCCGAAATTAGTAAAATAAGTGAATGAACTGATTACGGACTGATTGATGATACAATACAGAGGAAAACACGATAATAGAGAGGTGGCGACTGTTTGCATAATAGCGGCCATTTTCTCTACGTCATCGGCAGGCAGTCCGAAACTTCCTTGAAGGTGCGCTCACACCGGCCATGCCCGGCGCGGCGGGTGCCGGTGCAGATGCAGAGTAGGTGCAGAGATACAAAATGTTTTACGCTCCCGAAAAGTGAATCTCATTTCCCATGAACTTCTAAAAATTTCTTACAGGCTGATTATGCAAATGGCAAAATTTATCCAAATATTCGATGAAAAACTTCGAAATTTGACTCATGATTTGAAATTTCATTTTGCTAAAGTGGAAAATTTCATAGGATTCCGCCATGAAATTTCAACAGATTATCAGGGGCTGCATGCACAAAAATTATTCAAGAATTCAATATGTTATTTGAAATTTGACTCATATGATTGTTCTCTTCAAAATTAAGATGTTACCATCTCTGTGCATTACATAACACTTTGAGTCCTACACGAATTTTTAAAAAAATTTAAATTTAACATAATTCCTTTTCATGAAGTTTCATGAAATTCTGTTTACCTGACCTCGCCTAAACCTTTTGATTCCACTCCATCAAAAGATCAATCGACAACAAAATCGGATTCAATAGCTACGTTTATGCGAGGCTTGAAACCGGGGTTTCACGAAACCCGAGTTTGTAATGCAAGTTTCCTCCGTCGGGTTTATGCGAGCGCTGTGCTGTAACCCGACTTTCGCGGGAAATCAAACTTTCCGATTTTGGCGCTGTTTATGCGCATATTTTCGATTGAACTTGAATTTCATGTTGGCGCCATTTTCACAAGCTATACTTCATTTTTCCACTATGAATTGATTCAATAAATTATTAGGTATTACTCTTTTATCCTGTGTATGTTCAATTTTTCCACAATATATAAGCGGAGGCTTCATCTTCACTAGAAAAGCCTTTACTGACTTTCTGAGCAACAGTTGGAAAAATGACAGTAGATGTTTAATCATTTTACGTTCATCTTTAAAATTGAATGAATACCTAATCTCAACAACCCTCCAAATCATGCTCGAACATATATTCTGAGTTCAGAAAAGTTGCCATAGGTAATTTTAGTGATGTTAAAAATAATTGTGGCAGGCGCAGAAATGCATCATATTGTTTATTGAGCTTCTAATGATCTTACAATAGGTAGATATAGGCATTGAAAGTGTAGGAGTGCTAATCCAGTAAAGCACCGCACCTTCACTCCATGCTGTTGTAAAGATTGTATGTCTGCCATTATTGTAGTGAAACAAATAAAGAATCGGGATATACTTATGGGAATTCCTCCTTCAAGATATGATCAAAATAAGCAGATATTGATAGATCAACAATGTATCGCTGAAGCAGAAGCGTCTAAATCCTCTTGAGGCAACGGACGGTGACAATCTCAACAAACTGGTGACGCTTCACAAATTTTGAATTTCCACATTCCCAGAGACACGCGCTGAAATCCTGTTTCTCACCCCTCTTTCCGACTGCTCTCCGAGTCCATGAGCAAGACAGGAAGAAAATAGGCAAGCTACCTACCACTGTTTGCCTACCTATGTGTGTTTTTCTTAAACTTGATTTTCAAAGGTGACTCATGTAAAGAGCAACTGAAAAACAAGATTTCAGAACCTGCCATTGCATTTCACTAACCTAAGACACCAACCCAACCTTACCATTGATATTCTTTCGCTTACACTGTATATTATTCTCCCACTGAGATTCGATATGAACTCAATTCAAAAATCCTTCTGAATTTAATTATACAGGTAGATTGGAATCTGGAGCTCTCAGTCTATCTGTAAAGCGCATTTACTAACATTCACTGCTGTCACAAGATATTTTTGCACAGGCAGAGCCACTTTCCACAGTTGATGCATCTCTAACGCCAAAGCTCAATTATGACAAGTGGTTCAACGACCAAAAGTTGTTACACGCCTCAATAAAAACCTTATTCTTATCTCAAATTGAAAATCTTGGATCACAGAGCACTCACCGAAGAATCTCCTTCCTTCTGCATCAGTATGAGAAGAGTGACGATACTTTGGAGCAATAACTTTGAACTAGTTTCAATAAATGATGGCTTCAGAATTTGAGTCATCATTTACTAGAGATTGGATCAAAGAAATAAGTCAGCAGGTCACGGTTGTGGCTGGAGTCACACTTCCAGTAGGACAACCAGGAAATAGATACACGGATAACACACAAATATAAGAGCTATGCAGCTCTGATTGGGTCAGATTTTAGATTTAATCGGTAGATTGAAATGAAAAAATTCGGTGCACTACTTAAAGGGAAGCAGGGTGCCTTATCTTGAAATCTTAGGCAAATCGTGCGGATGCAGTAAAAAAGTTCTCCGCAGATGATGAACTGGTGGGTAAGGCTATTACTCAATTGTAGCCTGTAAAGCTCTTTGCTTGCTTTGCTTCTGTAGTCATAAAATGTTGATTAGAGTTGCAAGAATAATCTGAAAAAGCAGTAATAAGCCTGGATTCCATCTGACACTAAACACCTTCACTAGAAAATAACGTCCTACGTTTAGCTAAATAAGGATAAGTAAGCCACATATAACTGAAGGAATCACGTGAAAGTGCTTAAGCAACAATTATAGTAAAATTATGATTGTAAAAAATGTTGAATAAGTAATGGCAAAATTAAAGCTAAATCGTGGGATAAGGACCTGTTGTTTACGAACGGTATGATAATAAATCCGCCATATTGCCGATCGCGCACCTGAAAATCGCATTTGAAGTCGAATTTCAACTAATTTCAACCTCCGGTTCGTTTATGCGGAGTGCGAAAACCTAGTCTTTAGTGTAAAATGAGGTTTCAAACACAAATTTCGGAAACCTACATTTCGTTAGTTCCGTAACGTTTATGCCGTGATTTGAACCTTGGTTTCAAACTCAGGTTTCGATTGAAGTTAGGTTAAGAGGCTCGCATAAACATAGCTAATAGCTACCGTCAGTTGGTCTAACATGAGCCTCGGGGGTAACATGAGCCGTTTGGGGATTTTTTTTTCTCTTGCCTGTGGCAGCACAGTCGCGAAAGTAAACAACGAAAACAACAACATGATGTGATAGTGGCGTGTCTTGGCGGAATTTCAATGGTATAGAGACACATTTTTCCATCGATAAGAAATTTTTATAAATTATTTAGTTTTTAGAATTTTTTGCCCCTTTTTCTACCTCTGAAACTAACCTCCTTGAAAAGTGACTATCGATAATCACAGAATAATTTCGCCGGTCGCCGAACCTCACAAATACCTCCAACTTTCATGCCCATGCATTGGATTTTGAACATTTTAGTTTTTGACCGATTTTTTTTTGGAAAAACCAAAATTTTGGAATGTTGGAGGTAACTTGAGCCACCCAATTTTCGCAAGTCTTCCAGGAGCAATCTATACAGTAATGGTTTTCATGATACATTCTTAGTAAAATTGGCATTCCTTTAGAGCATAAATCAACTCCTTCACATATCTTTCATATTTAATGTTCGGCTTTTTAAGACTTGTATACTATATATACTTATATAAGAAAAAAAAGAAAAAAACACTAAGAAGTGGCCCGAACTGTATGTAACAAGGTGGAGAAATGGTGCTGAGTCCACACCATTTTGCGGGGAAAACAAAGCCAAAAAGTTCCAAAAATTAAAATTAAAGTCAATATTAATTTTATACTCACATATATACTACTATAAATAAAAGTGAATCTAACGTAGCCCAAAATACTACTATATATATACTTTTTAAGAAACTTTGACTGATCTCTCTTGACTTTAGGTCCCATTTGTCTTGTCGGTGTGCCTTTAAAGTAACTTAGTGCTATTGATTGTTAAATGATTTCCTGTTAGATACAAGGTTTTAGATGTTAAATGTATTTGCTCGCCTGAAATTTGACGTAAATTGTAGGAAAATTAAAGTTTTGTACGTTTTTAGCCTGGTTTTTAATGTTTTGTAACTCAATTTTTTTTTAAAAAAACTTTTGGGAGGCTCATGTAAGCCTATAGTAGGCTTACATGTGCCTTTAAATTAAAAACAATAGGGTGGCTCATGTTACCCCACCTTGCAGGTAACATGAGCCACCTCAATTTTTTTTAAAAAAAAAAATACCCAGTTTGCTGGAAAATTTTTTCAATGGGCTATTCTTACTCTTCTATGTGGGACTGATCTACAACAAAAATTGATTGCATGAAAAAAAAAATTTACTGCAAAAATGCAAAGCCTCAAAGTCAAAAACCGGCTCATGTTAGACCAACTGACGGTATATCAATTTGAATTTAGTTATTTTCTTTTTTCCCTTTTGAAAGAGCGACCCGAAGACACATTGACAAACTTCAGTCAGTAGATGGCACTTGCCTACTGTGCCACCAGTACTTACGTACTTCAAATTCCTCTCCCTCATAGTTTGAGGTCAGAAATGCATGAAGGTGCAGGTATATTTTCTTCAGGAATGTAGGCTTCAACAGCAGCACGATTTGAGTGAGGGAATCTCACCATAGAAAAGTTAAAACATTTATAGTTACTTACATTACCTAACACTAAAAGAACCGACTTAAGTAAACAGAAAGTAACAGAATTTAAAGCATATTCCCATGTTTCATAAATTCAGCGAATAAGTGTTCCTAAAATTTGATTGGGCGGAAGGGGGTCAAGTGGCGGCGCACTTTGATATCTCATTCGCATTCTTAAGAATTTCTGCTCCAAAAAAAGAAAGAAAAAAAAGCAATTTTAGAGGAAGGGAAAATAAATCAATTTGTTCCTGCTGTTCAAGAAAGTAAAGAATTCAAAATTCTTATTATAAGATTTTCATCATGTTTATTAGGAAATGTTTTAATTTAAAAATCTAAACTCTTTGTATTCTCATACAAGTGTAAAAATCATGATAGAACAAGACTGTCTTTATAATGGTAATTATCTATTTTATTGAAGAATTTGGCAAGCATAAATAGCACTATAATTACCATGGATTCCGATATTACTTAAGTACCCTTAGAATCAATAAATTAGTGGATGAAGTGGGACCGGTGGAAGGATAGTGTTCTCTGCTTCAGGTCCTGATAAAAGGCAGAAAATCAAGATTCTCCGTTCGAAAAGCAGATGCTCTGCCCGACTTAGCAATCATATGGAAATGAAAGCTTAGTATTTCACAACCGTTACGCACAGCTCATCATGGAGGCACATTTGTTTTCAAAAGTTGGATGACTTTCTTAAGATTTACTAAAAATTAATCTCTCTGACAGGTGCAAGTAGGATCCACGATCTTATGCTTTATTCAAACAAGTAAACTTTCTTTGATGATCATCATCATTAGGTTTTTGATATGTATGTACTTGAAACTTAATGGGATTTGCAGTCTATAAAGGACTAAACTTACGTTCCGGTGTTGGTGCAGTTTTAGCTTTTGTATTTTCGTTGTTATCTGTTTTCTTCTTTTATTTCTATGTTCCTACACAATATTAACCTATGGTCAGAATGAATGAAATGCGCATCGTTTGGTAAAAATGACAGCCTTCGTAAACAATGGGAAGAAAAAGGTAATCATCAAAAGTGCGGCCATGTGCTTCTGTAAAGGAAAACTATTTGGCTTAAACGTTAAATTTGCGGTTACATTGCCTACCCCAGCAATTTTGAAAGGCTTGTACAGGATATAACGGAGTAATTAAGAAAAAAAAGGTATGATTCAACAGAATAATATGTAATGGATTTTAGGCTGTGAGACACAAGACAGACTTCTAAGAAGTAAGAAAAAACATCCAGAGCATAATAAAACATATCTTCGCTGTGAGCCCCTTCAAAAATAACATAATTTCAAGGTCTTCAAAATCAACTTGGTGAAAGTTGATCAGTACAAAAAACAGCAAAAAACGACTAAAGAGCAAGAAAAAAATATTAAAGAGGAAATCTAGCGTTGTCAGTTTACAGATGAAAAATAACAATGACTCTGTCAACCCTTCATACTCTAGGAAAGAATAGGAAAAGGGCTTATGAAAAAAAAAAAAAATTCTGGCACTTCCATAGCTTCAAAACATTTTAGGTAAGCTCACAGTTAGTTTTATAGGAAAATTTCAATCTTTCTCTAACCCGTCGAAGATGTTTAAAATTGCGATGATCACATGACACAGCAATCAGCATTACAGACATTAGCAAGAGAATAATTATTTAAATACAAAAAATAAAAAAACTTTACAGTTTAAAAAAAGGGAATCAGTCAAGAAGTATCTTGAACAAAAGGAAAAATTTCTAAGAGTGTCTACTTTGAAAGCACCTCAAGCAGGATTATGACCGTTCTTCCAGTGAGGATTTGTTCATGCCAATCTGTACAAGAAACAGGACAAGTAAGACCATATTGTAAGTATCATGAAGGTAGTCATTTTTCCGATCTTTTCATTGAACTTCCCTGCAATGAAAGCACACACAATGAAAAGTATGGTAATTATTTTTTTTAAATTATTCTTTATGATAGCATATTAGCACTTTGACAATTATTTAAAAGTCCGCGTTCCTCCTTGCTGACCTTCAACTCATAGTAAAACTGCGCCAAGGGTTTTCAAATTTTCACTGAAATTAACATTGATGTAACACAATGTAACATTGGTTATGCTGCAGACTGCGTCAAAATACTAATAATGGAACTAAAACATCACACATCTCGATGTTAAGGATTTTCTGCTTGGTTTTACGTTTTTGAAGGCTGAATCCTAGGTGAATTTTTATCATTTAAAGCAAAAATAAATTGAGTATTTGAATAAGTATTATGGTTTTATTACAAGGGCTATATTAAGGATTTTAATATTTCATTTACTAAGACATGGAAAAACCACAAAAGCCACATTTTTGTGCCAAAATCCTTAAACCCATGTTGAGACCAGTACTGCCGTGCTAAGGAAGAACGTCGTATGAACCTTCAGGCGTTGCCAAATTTCCTTTGATAAAACACGAATTTCCTGGTAAATATTTTCCTTCCAATTTTTCAGATAATTTTGTTCGCAATTTCACCTAAAGCTCCTGAAAATACCTGGTATGCATATCTTTGCTCAAAAATAAATATTTACTCAATGGAAATTCGGCAACTCTGGAATGTTCATACGGCGCTCTTCCTTAACACGGCAGTGCCCCCCCCCCCCCCAAAAGAGACCGAAAATGACCAAATCTCAGTACATTCCACAAAATATAGATCTTCAATGCGGAGAAATCGTAGAGTTTAAGAAACTTAGCTAGGGTGGGCCCAAAATCGGGCCTTACCGATCGATACCCTTCTTTTACTGTCAATAAACTTTGTAAGTTTCTGTGATATTTCACTTTCAGAGAGCAAGGTTCGTTTTAGAAGGTTTTAATTTTTCTGAAGACCACCCTCGATTTTTTTGTGAAAATCTCAAGGAAGGTCTCTAGATTGAAAAATTGGAAACCGCAAAATCATTAAGTGGGGCCGCTTTTTTATTTTCGACTTTTTCTATCTTTGAGGGTAAAATGGCGGTAGAAGCCAATGTGTGACCACCAAAACCCACCACCCTCTGGTCAAATTAAGTTAAAATTTGATGTTTGTTAGTCCTTGACATGTAAATGGGTGTCCTCAAAAGTTTCAAACCCTTTCTTAAAGAATTGAATTGCACCCCCTTACGCGGTGTTGCCAAGTTACACACCAGATAATGCCGCAGCTGATGGGGCAATGTAGATTTTGAGTCGCGATTATCACCCAAAATTATAAAAAACACAACATTATTCATTATGTGGATAATTTCAAAACTAATTCGATAGAAACAAGCGCAGTTGCCATAATTTCGTTTTTTGCGATTGCAAAATTTGGCCAGAAAATGTCAATTTTTTTATTTGATTGAAACAAGTCTATGCTTATTTTTCAGGGACATCATCAAATTACAGAGCTTTAATTTCTTTTAAGGAAAATTCAAGATTCATCAATGAAAGAAGTGAGTTTCATCCTGAATGCCGGTTTACCCAAAACTATTAAGCAGCAACAAAAATGCCCTCCGAGCGGGAGATGAATCTTGGGCAGTCTATAATTAAAGTGGGTGTACCCTTTTTGCTTGCTAGGTAAGATAAGAGTCCTCTTTTCTTCTCTTCGCGAAATTTTAGTGAAAAATTGTTCAAATTTTACTTTTTGATTCCGAAACAAATTCTGAGAACCTCAAGAAATAGCTCGTACAATTATTACACAGGAATAAACCTATCTCGGTTATGAACCACCAAAGTTCACTACCCACAGTAGGGTATTTTTGCTGTTACTTTCAATTTTCGGAAATCTGGAACAATTAAATAAAACACTCTTTTATCATTTGGGAATCTTGAAGTTTTTTCTCCTCAGTTGGAATTTAAGAGATCAAGGCTTCAATTCTCAGTGAACATCGATTAAATCTCTCAACCGTTTTTGTTAACTACTTTCTCGTCAATTAAAAAATATTTTACCTTATTTTTCTTTGGATATAAAAGGAGAAAAAAATTCAAATTATACTATTTGAGTCAAGAACAATAACCTCGGGAATTTTTTTCGAACCAAATCCACTTGTCGATTTGTGTGTATTTATTTTCGTATATCAGCTGTGTTCCATGGATTGAAGTTAAGTGACTTTGACATCATGCCCCATTGTATGTACAAATTCATCAACTACCAGTCTCTCATTTGATAATGTCGCTGCAATATAAGCATAGACTTGTTTCAATCAAATAAAAAAAAATTGCGGTCAAATTTTGCAATTGCAAAAAACGAAAATGTGGCAACCGCGCTTGTTTTTATTGAATTGGTTTTGAAATTATCCACATCATGAATAATAGTATGTTTTTTCATAATTTTTGGTGATAATCGCAACTCAAAGTCTACATTGCCCTATCAGCTGCGGCATTATCCGATGCGTAACATGGCAACATCGCATAAGGGGGTGCAATTCAATTCTTTAAGAAAGGGTTTGAAACTTTAGGGGACACCCATTTACATGTCAAGGACTAACAAACATCAAATTTTAACTTAATTTGACCAGAGGGTGGTAGGTTTTGGTGGTCGCACATTGGCTTCTACTGCCATTTTACTCTTAAAGATAGAAAAAGTCGAAAATAAAAAAGCGGCCCCACATAATGATTTTGCGGTTTCCAATTTTTCTTTCTAGAGACCTTCCTTGAGACTTTCATAAGAAGAATCGCGGGTGGCCAGAAAAATTAAAACTTTTTAAAACAAACCGTGAGGGATGATCATTCTTTCATAAAATTTCTCATAATTATTCTTTAACATTAGAAAATATTCTTTGGAAGTTTTGGTCATAAATGTCATATGATGTTCTCTTTAAAGGGATACGTGACAGCAAAAAGCCCATGACCTGAAAGTCAAGATAATGCATTTCCATCGTTATATTCAGGTTTAAAAATAAACCACCAGGACCAACCTCTCTTATTTCTTCTTCTTCTTCTTCTTCTTCTTCATCATCTCCTTCTCCTATTCCATCTCCATCTTCTCCTTCTTGTGATGTGCTAAGGACAGGTGCTTCTATCCAGTAATCTTTGGGATCATAGTATACATTCTCAAGGTAAAGGGCATAACCAGGGACTGTATGAATATAATTGGGCCAATTGTCTTGGCTTGGGTTTTCTAATAGATAACGGATATCTGTTTTTGACATTTTTTTTCCTCCAAGAGCTAGTAAGCTAGAGACCATTCTTCGAACCTAGATGTCACAAAACAAAGAAAAAATAAGTAAAAGTGGGAAAAATCAACACGCTGTGTCAGCAGCGCTTACTATTATGTTCCTGGACTTTCTAACTCTTTTATTAGAGGAAAATGTGCATTTCTCAACATGTGAGCAAATAAAGTTCGAAATGGTGTATAGCGTATTTAAATTCTTATCAATAACACAGAAAAATAATCGACCAGAGAGGCAACTGTCAGTTTCCAACATAAGATCTTGCACAGTTACTTTTTTTACTCAAGCTTGGGACTTTTTCTGCAAGAAAGTAGAATCAGCTGAGTGAAGCTCGGGCCGGCCTTGGCTACAGGATGAAAGTCTAAGTGAAAGCAGACAAGACTTGGGACCGTTTTGGAGGGAAAACTTAGAGTCAGAGGCATCAGAAGAATCAGAGCAAAGAAAGCAGACTATCGCCCCTCCTGGTCAATAAATTATTCCTCGTCAATAAATTGAGGGGGCTTTCGTAAAATGTGGTCTCTTGTGTACAAAACAAAAGTCATAATTTTTAAAATTACCTCACGACTTAAGATTTGCCTCACATTTACATCACTAAGATCTTAGGATTGCGAGAACCGGCATTTCCTGCACCCCTGAATTATTATTTCTTCACATTAATGACAGGGACAAGCTCTATAGGACGTCGTTCCGTTGTGAGCGGGTGATTGCAGCGCATTCTAGCGCAGGACCCTAGTAAACTCAGAGGATCCTTCCCCCCGAACCTCGACTCATCCATCGCCCGCTCCAAAAGTGAGGTTAAGCCGATGATTTAAAAATAACACATAAGGCCACTGAATTTGAAAAATAAGTATATCTTTGGTGTTTTTCGACCCCTTTCGACAAGGAAGGGCCCACCGCAATAGTTGGTAAGGTGAAAAATTCGATTTTTAGCAGATATACGTGATCTTACGGATTTTAGTGAAGTCAAACAACTGATAACAGCAGTGAGTTGCGAGGGTCCTACGCGAGATAGCAGCACTAGTACCTGCTCACGAATTTTTACATTGACTCTTAAGGGAGTCCAGGGTCCTATAGAGCTGGTCCCTGTTAATAATTTAAGTACAATTTTCTTAATTATTTGTCAATATAGGAGTAGTATTACCATTTTGTAAAGGAACGACCTCCCTCTAACTCTAACATTCCAAAATGTCCAATTCTTCGATATGTCACAAGGGAGAAATGGCCTGCCTGGTGATAGCTCACAGCTAAGGATTGTGCGTTCTGTCCTAAACAGGCCAAAATAAAGAAATTATTCATGATGGTAGTACAGTTCATCTATTTAAAAATACATGGATGGAGAATTCACAAAGTGATCGAACACTTTGGAAATTGTTTTGAGAACATTGCATTTATCTGTCTTGGAGACTGGTAGTGTGATACAGACATTAATGCAAACAAATTAATTATGAACGTAGACTTCTGGGAGATGCCTTGAATTGTTTTGACACTTTCACCCAAAATTCTGTAAGTTTATGAAAGGTTTTGATTTGTTTTTATCCCCCTCCTCCCCCAGAAAAATGTGCTCTACACTTAGAAAAAAAAAATTCAGTCATAATGAAAATACAAAAAAAATAAACTGCTCATTAAGACTTGATGGGACATTTTGTCAGAGAGATCCTTTACTCTATTCTACACTCCACATTTTTGTTCCAAGGATACAGAAAAAATGATTTTGTAGCATCGTGTCCAAGATCATGGACTCTATGCTCATCATTAAACTTTTCATTTCTTCACTTAAGCATAGAGTCTAATATCAAGGAGCCCTCTCTTAGTTTTGATGTCCATCCATTCTTCTTAATAAAAAATCGCATTATTTTCTTATATAATCTGATAGAGTTGTAATGTAAGTGGGAGAGCTGGCGCCACTTTCAAGCATTTTCCAGGTCCCGAATTCTGAGACTTCTGTGAGACGCCAGGTCACTTTTTCGATACATGATTGATTGTTTTCGATACACGGGTACCCAGCCATCCAATGTAAACAAAGAAGATAGGAATTACCTTGTATTCCACACTGCCATTTTGGATCAAACAAGTATCGAAAAAGTGGCTGAAGCTCGGAACACACCGGGCTTTGAACTCATCGGGCAGAGCATGGCACCAGCTCTCCTATTTACGTTACGACTCTTGGTACTCCAAGTCTAATCTAACTTCAGCTCACCTAACCTAACCATATCTAACCTAACTCAACCTTATCTATCCTAACCTCACCTAACCCACCCTTACCTATCCTGATCTAACCAATGCACAATTTTCTAAGAGAGCACACTGTTTTCGTCTTTATTTTACCAAAATTGCCTTGATAAACTTTTGGACTCTGTGCTCGTCTATGTTAGAGTATATCTGCATCCCACCATTTTGGATGCTATGGTCACTTTGATTTTTTGAAAAAATTATTTCTCATTAAGGTGAGCATGGAGTCCAAGATCTTGAACGTGTTGAGCAGATGAGCATTACATATATGAGCATGGAATCCAATATCATGGACGCAATGTTACATTACAGAAAAAATGTTCCACTCTCACTCAAAAGAAATCACTTTTCTAAATTCCTCTAATTTTTTAAAGAAAGAAAAAAAAAAAAACCATAAAAACCAAAAGGTAAAAAAGTAAAATGTAAGCTCTGGCTGAAAGTTGACCCATTTTTCAGTAAAGTTGAAGGTGCTTCACGAAGAGCACAAGTTGACTTGAAATTGACTAAGTTTTCAGTGAGATGATTTTCAAGAAAGGATAAAAAGTATGCGCTAACTAAGTGGCTTTCATAACTGCTCTCGCCTTTCTTGACTGGACTCATCGGCGGATCCAGCAAATTGGCAACATTGTCTTTTCTCCATTTAAATCTACGGAAATGTATCGATTTTTGAAGGGGCCACGTGCTATGAAAAGAATCGATTATTTAGCATAGGTTTAAATGGAAGCAATCCGGTGTTGCCAAATTGCTGGATCCGCCTATGGCTGGACTTAGGATCCTGGATCACGAAATCCCACATTTTCTGCATGCCTGGCTTGTGCCTGAGGGTTTTAGCACAGGCTTCAATATCAACTAAAATCTTCCTCTTGGAATTACTTCCATTCAGAAGAGCACAAAAATGCAAGTGTACAAACTTTAAATTAGGAGGAACTCCTTTTGATCTTGCCATAAAACTAGTGTAATCATGCGTTCCAACAAATATATCAGTCGCTTTTCTGGCTATATTGACATCCCATAGTGGATCACTGAAACAGAATATGTAACATTTGTGGGATCAAATTTTCAAGAGTAAAAACCACTAAGAGAGTAAGAGACAGAGATAAAGTAAAAAATGAAAAAGTATATCGATGGCCGAAGTGTGAAATCACAAATCTCCGTTGGGATGTTTCTGAATTACCACTCCTATTTCATTTTTTCGAACAGAAACAAGCTGATTTTATAGCTTGAAATTCATACAGAATAGTCTGCTATTAAAGAGGAAAAATTATGAGAGTTTTCAAGATTACGCTGGGAGTTTTCTAAAGAGGAAATAAAGTAGGTATAACAAGAAGTCTGCAACGTCGTAAACAGCATACCTTGGACATTGATCTAATGGAACTGTTTCAATTCCTCATATTGAATTCAATCATTAATTGGTAATTATTAAGTAGAGGTAAGTAGTAATTATTATTAGTCACTATATCACTATAAGTAAATCAACAGATTACAAGCATTACAATAAAATTATTATTGACGTGAAGAAATTAGGAGTATATTAAAGGGAAGAGAAAACCTTTGCTTCATAGGGAGACATTTAACAAATATGCCTATGAATCCAAATTTTTCATCAGATTTTTGGAACCAATTTTCAAACCCTGAAGGTCATATTCAGGAATGCAGGAAATTTCTAGCCTTATCATTTTTTAAATTGACCTTCACAGCCAGAAGATTCTGTTTCCCTATAAATTACAAGTGATGAACTTGTTATTGCTCTTTCCACACAAACTGCCACAATTTGACAAAAAATGTGCAATTTTTACCTAAATTTTACGGAAAATACTCAACTTTTACACTTAAGGGCATGGCCTGCTCTTCAATATTAAAACTCATTTACGGAGCCTTTCAATTTTCGCACGTAGTCTATCGCGAACTGTAGGTCATGTTTTCAAGAAGCATCTGCTCCTTTGGTCATATTGAATGACATCTTCAAGTATAATAAGTAAAAATAAATTAGATGATGGAACTTACTACACAAAATGACAACGAAAAGCTTCGGTAATAGGCAGAGGTACTACATATCTGTTTGCGGTTTTATTATCTTTGAGTAAGCTGGCATTGTTGAGAACTGCGAATCTGTATAGGTACTGGCGCCATTGTGGTAAATGTCGAGAGTGAAAATGAGGTGAAACTTCAATCGTTTCCAATACTCTAGATGAAAAAACACATATAAATAAGGTTTCAATGGAGAGATTATGAACCACAAAATTAAGAATTACCAAAAGTAAAGATATGAAAAAAAACCCCATAAGAAGCCATTTAAGCTCACATTTGATGACTTATTTTTGTAAGGGGTAGAAGTAAGAACATCATAATATAGATTTTCGAGAGCATCTACCCACCCTCTACAGCAGCCTAGACCGACTAGTGAAAAACAGATCAATTGATTAGCTCCTTGTTAGGATTTACTAGTTAGAAAATAGAAAACACATTAAAAGTATTTAACATGATAGGGTCATCTAAAATTAGTATCATTTCAGTGAGAAACTCCTCTTATGCATTTTAGAACTGTGAAGTAGATTGAGATACGGGAAAATCATTCTGCATATAGAGCGGAAAACCCATAGTATATAAGTTAAGGATTTTAGAGAATTTCAAAAACAGTAACAAACCTGACATCAACTCCAGTTTGAGAGAAAAAGCAATTTAAAGAGTGTGTCAAAAAATCACTGTCAAAATTCCATTTGAAGTCCAAATCCACATGAGCAGCCGATCTCAGTGCATGAACGCCTTGATCTGTCCTTTGAAAATAGGAGAAACAGAAAAAATTATGTACTGACACTACTGCCAATGAAAGGGATCAAATAGTACAATTAGTTGCTGACATTAACAGTAAGTAACTGGTTGTTCTGCTTTTTGATGTGGAAAAAAAATTGAACCCTCCCGAAGCTTTCTATCGTCCGATTGTTACCCTTGCCAATGTTCTTTCCTGTTATTAACATTTTTGAAAAATGGAAATTATGCGGAAAATTATATTATATAAAAAATCCTTCTGTGTAAGTAGCCCTTTCTCTTTTTTCTTCACTCTGTTTACTTTTTATATCTCAGTGTTACTCAAGCAGTTATCTTAGTCAAATCTTACATGGATTTCTAAATGTATTCATAAATCAAATATATAAAATAACTATTAAATTGTCGATAAAATAGGAAATTTTGTGTTTTCACTTTATTGATTAATTACAAGAATTAAAAATGTTATCATCAACTCATTCTTTAATAGTTTTCCATAATTGTCTTGAATTTAAAAGAAACTTACCTCCAAGAAATTGTCTTACGTATCTAGCAAGCTCTTTTTGTCACCCAAGAAGGCTTTTCGGGCCTCTTTAAGGCAAACTTGTAAATTAGGAATAATAATTCTGCTGAAAATCTTTACTCTCTTGACTCTTCACAAACTCATCAACAGCTGATCAATGATAAAATCATCGGGTGAATATTGAGGAAAAGGGATTTTTAATTACTCCAGCCTCTAGGTTCCCTTCAAAAGAAGACGAACATTGATTTATGTTGGTAGTTGGATGAAGATTTTATAAAAATCAACTTTAAACCAGGCACTCAAAAGGCTAAAGTCAAAAACATTATACTTCTCTAATCGAAGAAAATGCCTCAAATTAGAGTGCAACTACGATTCTTGCAGATGAATTTCATACAGATCAACATATTTTATTTTCTTTGAAGAGAATCAAGACTTTGACAAAAAGTTGTTTCCAGATAGCTACCTGTGCGAGTCGATAATTCTTAAAAACTGATTAAAAACATCAATTTTCCAAGCTCCTTTGCATTCCATTTGCTGACCTTAGTGCCTTTTCCTTAAGAAGTCACCCTGTAAAAGCTCCCTCTATTTCCCCGATTCCTTGTGGGATAAATGGATTATGTATTTGAAAGATATCACAGATGAAGGAGTCAAGTGTTGCTTTTATATTTTGAGGGAAGCGTTATTAATTTGAAAGAATTCTTTCAAAATTGTGGCTTAAATAAACTTTAAATTTAAGACTACCTACAGCTGAGCACTTGCATTCAATTACTTCATTGTTAGTACGCCTTCAGATGAGTCTTACTCAAAATGACTGCTTCACTGCAACCAACCTCCTTTGTCTGTAGTATTCACCCTTTTTCATTATTTTTTAAAAATTAATAGGTACAACTAATAAATATTTGAAGCATTTTTTCTCGCAGTCAACATGACTTGTGCTGGCTGTTTTAACTGTTACAAAAGACAAAAGTTAGAAAGGTCCTACAAAGTGGTCACAAAAGTACATTGGTTTATGAGTGATTGTGTAATATAGACTGAATCTGTCTTAAAATTTTTTGTGTGAAATTTTAATTTCACTAAATTAATAGTCCTCAATAAGAAATTTCTATCACCCGTGATTTTAAAGTGGGACCGCAGTTAGAAATATAAACACAAAAACAAACAGAAAAAAAGAGAGGGAAAACGCCTTCAATTTGACTGCACGCAACCTTGCGTCGCACAAAAGTAGCGATAATTGATGTGACCAACTAAAGCCACTTACAGGAGTTCAGGGATCACTTAGTGATGGTAAATTTAAGAAATCTACACTGAGAGATCGTGGATGGCGTTATTATTTGCTGAAAACATTGGTAATCATTTTCTGGTAGATTTAAGTAAAATATCTGATGAAAAATGACGTGATATCCCACAAAAAAACACTTGGGAGGGTGCCATTTGGACGGCAATAATTTAGAGAACTTGACCGTCCCGATTTTACAGATAATCATATATGATATGAGAAATCGGGACGGCAATTAATTCTAGGGTTTGTCTCATGCTGGTATTCCAGCCGTTTTTCTAAAAAATAAATAAATAAAAATAGGAAAAAATAAAAAAATTGCCGTCATGCTAAAGAAATGTTTGATAAATCATTTTAGCATTGGGTATCATTCCTATGATGGGTACCTATTGGAATCTGCTTTTGATTTAGGGGAATAGTCAAAATATTTACTTCTGCTCCTTTTCTGCGGCATGATGTCATTTTTTTTATTTTTTCCTATTTTTATTTACTTGTTTATTTAGAAAAACGGCTGAAATACCAGCATGAGACAAACCCTAGAATTAATTGCCGTCCCAATTTTTTATATCATATATGTTTATCTGTAAGATTGGGACGGTCAAGTTTTCTAGTTTATTACCGTCCAAATGGCGCCCTCCCAAGGGTTTTTTTGTGGGATTTAGTCTACGCGGAAAAAATTAATTGCTGATTTAACAATTAAATTGCTAAGAAAAGTGACTGCATTATTACAACATAGATTTCACAACACAAAAATGCTACTTAAACTACTATTTTGAGCTAATTTAACCACAGGGGTGGGTAAAGTAGCATTTTTGTGTTGTGAAATCGACGTTGAAATATTGCAGTCACTTTTTTTACCAATTGAATTGTTAAATCAGCAAGTTAATTTTTTCCATGTATGCTTGGGGGGGGGGGGAGCACCAAAAGTTTGTCTGGCGGCCCCCGTCACTCTAAATCTGGCCCAGGGTGGCTGATGTCATCGAGTGTGTTTCCCAAGAAGCATCACCTATAGACTTTTTCAGCGGCATCATCTGTCAAGAGACATTTTAAAGAGAGTCTACTTGTGGATCAATGATTCGACAGAACACGTGAGTACGTGCCCCCTGGTGAGAGAGAATAAACCAATTAGTGCATGATGTGTTACCTGCTAGAGGGGATCACATGAACCTCATTTTCTGGGCGCAGACGGTGTAATGCATATTCTAAAAGACCTTGCACAGTTGTAACATCATGTTGGTTTTCTCTGTCTCTCGTTATTTGACGTTGAAGCCCGCTACAAAAAAAAAAAGAGAGAATAAGTAAGAAATTATTAAAGAATTTTTTCCCTTCGTTTAACGGGTAAAAAGACTTCTTGATTGCACAGTTTTCTTGAATTTTAAAAAAACAATCGAATTTTTCATAAAACAATAAAAGCTGTTGTATTAAAACTTTGGATACTTAAAAACTCATGCTTTTACTTGGAGATAGGTAATTGATTGTATTAATTATACAGGGTGCGGCAAAAGTCCCGGGACGGCTGTTTATTTTTTAAACGGCTACATGTAGAAAAACGAATTTTGGGGGATGTTCTCGGGTCAAAGTTAGCTACTTTTTGGCACTCCCCAAAATTTGTTTGGGGGCCCCCCTAGGGGAGGGCGGGGGGCAACTTTTTTTTTTTGAATGGCAACCCCCCCTTTGTGATACCTCATTCGAAAGATAATAAAAAAAGAAAATTTTTGGCGCAAACCGCAGGTCAAAATGTTCATTTTTGACAAAATGGCGGCCGGTCAAAGTTCAAAATGGCGGAAATTTGGCATATCCGCTGTTTATTGACGGATTGGTGTGAAACTCGGAATCCTAGGGTTTTTCGAGATGAGAAAAACGATTCTGGGATTGATTTTCCAGAAGAGTCAGTCCTTTTCAAAATGGCGGCCTCGAGCGGGAAGTGGATATTTAGGTTGCATATCGTTGGATTTGCATGAAACTTGGTATCTGGGGGTATTTCGGCACGAGAAGAACGAATCTTTCATTGGATATCTGAAATTTTGACAAATTCCAAAATGGCGGCGGAAAAATTGCGGGAAATCAGTTTTACGGCTCTTTACCGATGGATTTGCATGAAATTATTTGATATTTCAAGAATCTAATGAAAGATTCCTTTTTAACGAGCCAAAAACCGCCAGGATATCGAATTTAATGCAAATCCATCGGTAAAGAGCCGTAAAACTGATTTCCCGCAATTTTTCCGCCGCCATTTTGGAATTTGTCAAAATTTCAGATATCCAATGAAAGATTCGTTCTTCTCGTGCCGAAATACCCCCAGATACCAAGTTTCATGCAAATCCAACGATATGCAACCTAAATATCCACTTCCCGCTCGAGGCCGCCATTTTGAAAAGGACTGACTCTTCTGGAAAATCAATCCCAGAATCGTTTTTCTCATCTCGAAAAACCCTAGGATTCCGAGTTTCACACCAATCCGTCAATAAACAGCGGATATGCCAAATTTCCGCCATTTTGAACTTTGACCGGCCGCCATTTTGTCAAAAATGAACATTTTGACCTGCGGTTTGCGCCAAAAATTTTCTTTTTTTATTATCTTTCGAATGAGGTATCACAAAGGGGGGATTGCCATTCAAAAAAAAAAAGTTGCCCCCCGCCCTCCCCTAGGGGGGCCCCCAAACAAATTTTGGGGAGTGCCAAAAAGTAGCTAACTTTGACCCGAGAACATCCCCCAAAATTCGTTTTTCTACGTGTAGCTGTTTAAAAAATAAACAGCCGTCCCGGGACTTTTGCCGCACCCTGTATAAAGCTACTGTACCGAGATTTCAACAACACTTTACAAAAAAACTGTCGGAGCGATTTCTTTCAAACTTGGCAAGAATGAATCTGCACGCCTGAAAAATCAAAATTAGAAAAGAATGCCGCTGAAGCCCAAAAAAAGAAAAGTTGTTTCTCCTTATACTAATGCATTGGGGATACGCAGTTGTTTACGCGAACCGCGCTGAACAGGTTCAATCCTGTCGCGTGACGTCACAGCATTATAGATGAAATTTCAGGTTTCACGGGGTATTTATCAACGGATTTACGTGAAGCTACAGCAACGTATTGAATACATATCAAAGTTTGTGACATTACAGACTTTCTTTCATACTTAATTATTTAAATGAAATAATCCACAATGTCATTCCTCAAAAACTTCCTAGGATTTTCTTCTTAGGAAGAAGAAGAATAAATCGGTGAGAATTCCGTGCAATAGTGACAATTTGCTCTTCTTTGATAAATGAAATGACAGCGCTAATATGAAACACTGTAAACAGGAAACACATTTTTGCAGCTTCACTATCACTATATTGACGGTGTAAGTCAGCAATCACAGAACTCAGTTTGCGACGTCACAGACTTCCTGTCATACTTAATTTAGTTTTTAAATGGAAAACTACTTAACGGCAATTCCTTAAAACTGCCTTGATATTTCTTCTCTGTGCGAAAAAAATTCTCATTCACTTCAAGGAATGAAGTCAATTTGTTCTCCTTTAAAAAAATACCATAGAGGTGGAGATTTTCAGACACCGCAAACGAGATATGTGATTGCAGATTTAAGCTGTCGATATGTTACTCCATGTGGTTTCCAAGCTTACGTCCAAAGCAACATTATGTTCCTTAGGCCTGTTTATGGTTCCATTTAGCCCTGTGGCCTTGGCTCGGCGAACCAATTATTGAAACAATGTTGGCCCGACACAACAAGACATAGCCCTATCTTAACCATATCGCAATTCGATGTCTTATCAGGCTGCTTTAAACTTTCAATAATCGGCCTACTGGGTCTCGTTTCTGAATGAAAAGGGACTCATGTGATCATTAGAAATATAGGGAAGAGCAAATAACAGGCTGGGCATTGGTTGGCTGACAGTATTATACGAAGTACTCGTATTACGACAAACCAATCGAAAAGATCAAATTCGACATGCCACTGAACGAGTAAATAATTTTATTTGTAGGAATATTACCTGAACTGTTTCCCGATATACGAAAAATACATCAGGAACCGTCTTCTACCCATGGTTGTGTTGTAAAGTCACCGGTTTGGGCAAAAGATGAGTCGAGATTCGAGAATAGAATGACTAGCTCCAGACCATCAGACGAAAAGCAAGCCAGGCTCACATTTATTATTTTAGGTTAGGATAATCGACCAATAGGAACGTTTGTTTACATTATGGACCAATCAAATAATCCAGTTTTCGCAATTTGGCATTCAATTTGGCAACGGCAAATTTTTTGTTTTTGTTTTCCTTTTTGGCCGCGCTTATCAATTTCAATTATCAATCATCCACTTTCACATCTATTCACCGGTCACTTTTACATGTACCCTTTTTTCTTCTTCTTTTATAGATCATTCTCCTTAATCCCAGAGGTAATTCATCCTCGATAATGCTCATTTTAAAACGTGTGATTTTGCTGTTGTTAATCGCTGGCACCCACAAAGCGGAGGCTTTTTTCGAGACCCTTTGGGCTACTATCACTGGTGGTGAGCAGTGCAACAAACATTGGATAAATTTTGATTTCAATGGTAAGTTCGATTCAGTAAATGTTCCTTATTTTCAAATTCCTGCAAGTTATTTTCATACGAAAACATTTGTGCCGGAGCCAAGTCAATAAGCAAGACCATTTGTCAAATGGTTTATCAAATTTTCTGCACGTTTTTTATTTAGGGTTGAAAGATCTCATTAAAGCAAATCCTAGAGATCTACTGAAAGCTGCAAGGGTGGATAACACTGAAATGTCTCGTCGAAAGCAAGTATCAGACCTGCCCAAGTGAAGCCCAATTCAGATGATCAAACTTTTCATTCAACTTTGCTTCTGCTTTATTTCTAAACTGTAACTTCGAATACAACAACGGTGTAAGTCGGCAATCACATAACTCAGTTTGCAATGTCGCAGATTTCCTGTAATTTTTCTTCTGTGTGCGAAGAAAATTCTGCATAAACTTCAAGGAACGATGTCAATTTTTCCTAGTTTCTCTCTTCAAAAATCTCTTTTTAAAAAATAACATAGATTTGGAGATTTCCAGACACCGCAAACAAGATGTGATTGCGGACTTACGCCATCGATATGTGAGCCATCGGAGCTAAAGTGAAACAAAGTCTACTCTCTTGCTCTCTTCAATTGAATGAGTTTTGCAGCATCTTAATGGGATGTTCAAGCTGCTGAGCATTTGCATCTTTGAAATTATTTGCAAGAATGCAGTTCTTCTCCTTTAATTTAGTATTCAGGTCCGATTTTAGCAGTGATCTACATGGGCGAGAAAAGCTGGCTACTTGACTGGCGCTCCTCTACCCCTGACATTAAACACTTTATTTCCTGCATCTGATGTAGTGATACAAGACTAACTAGGGCAGCGCTCATTTAAAAAATTAAATCATAAACATTCAAATCTGAGGAAGGGGGCAAGGTAATCCGAAGTGATGACGTAAGTTCAGAGTTGTCAACTACAATGCAAGCCAGCCGCAGTTGTTATTTTTTTCATGATGGGTCATCAGCTAATTGCATCCTGCAGCAGAGACTGCCTGAAATTTCTCCACTGATTCCTGCACATGTCGATCAAACATTCATGGGCTCTGAGTTTTCCTAAGATCCCTCGTGCTATGCCAATCAGTAAAACTATGGCTCCTTGGATTAATAATTCCGTTGTCCGTCAAAGTAAGGGTACCTCGGCATGTGGCAACTGCCATTGTTCTGGAATCATAGTGTGTAAGTAGTTGGTGTGTTATCTCATAAATTTCAAACTGTTTAGTGTCATTGTATATGAAGAAGAAAAGCATTAGATGCTGAGATCCGTAAAATTAAAAAAGCAGATGCAAGGAAAATTTTATATTTGAAAATGGGAAGAAAAGTAAGTATGCAAATGGATTGGTACTCATCCTCTAGGTAGATAGAAACGACTACAGGAGAAGGAAATGATTTTCCAGATGTCTCAGTGAGTCCCCTTGGAAGTAAAAAATAGCAGCAGAATTTGTCTCAGCATGTTTAGTTTTCAAAAAAAATTTCAGGGATGACCTTTCAGTGGAAGTGTATCCCCTTACCCTCTCCACCCAGTATGGGTATAGGGGGCAACATTTATTTTCAGGCGTCCGCCCTGTTAATAATAATACAATCTTTGTCTTATGACTTTATTACTGTTCGACTACTTGTACTACAATCTGTAAGTATATTCAGTTGGAGCCTGTAATAACGTTTCTTAAAGGTTCTTTGCTGTCAGCAAGACCTTGTAGAATTAAGGTAGGTAGCATTGTTTTTAATTGTTTGAATATAAATGTTATTGCAATTGTAGCATACTTTTATTAAGAAGTGCGTCATTTATTGTTTCAGCTTTTCAGCATGATTTGAACGAAAATCTATTCGGTCAACCCCTGGTGCTGGAAAGTGTCGGCTATGCTGTCAAGTCTCATTATGCTAAAAATGACAGAAATCAGAAGCCTCTAGTATTGAGTTTTCATGGTATGCAAGGGAGTGGGAAGAATTATGTTTCAGATTTTATCGTGAAGCATACTTTCAGGAGAAATTTAGAGACTGGCCGAAAGAGTCAGTTTGTCCATTTCTTCAATGGGAGGTTACAATTCCCATTGGAGCGCCATATCCACACTTATAAGGTGAGCAAATATTTTCACATTCTTTTTTGTCGGAACCATTTTCATTCTTGCATGATCACTAAAAAAGCAAGTTGCAAACTGTGTCCTATGCACCAGCCAGGCCATGCCTTTTAAGCCCTTATAAGCCCAATGTGGCTCCATAAACACACTAAGGTGTCTGGTCCTCAAGCTTATCATAGCATGCAACAAGTCAAGAGTAAAATTATTTCTTCATTTCTAACTCTAAAATAAAATATTAAGAAAAATTATGTTGAATGTGTGTACACAGCTAAATATATGGAGAGACATTTTATGTTCAAGACTAAATGGAAGGTTGAAAGTAGTCTCTTTATCATGCTATTATCACGAAAGTGCAGAATACTTGAACTGTACTGATTTTTACCTCTCTTAACTGCAATTGTGTAATAGTTTTCCATCACTTATACCGTCAATTTTTTTTTTGTTATTAAAACCATTTTCTAATTTTGTTTTACTAGTACGAGCTGGAGAAAACAATAAAGGATGCTCTCTACAATTGTCCATATTCAATCTTCATTTTTGACGAAGTTGACAAAATACCTAGAGGAGTGCTCGATACCCTCAAACCGTACCTAGACTATCGTTTTGAAGTGCAGGGTGTTGAGGCTAAAAAAGCCATCTTCATCTTCTTGTCCAACACCGGAAGTAGAGCAATCATGGAAAAATACCTTGAATATTGGAACGAAGGCATTGATCGAAACAATTTATCTTTGAATGATTTTGATGATGTCATTCGTTCAGGAGCGTTCAACGAAGATGGTAAGTTAAACTGTTCCTCACCCATTAAACCTTTGATCTGTTCTTTGTGCTGGAATTTTTTTTTGGTGTCTAAGTTTCCTTATATTATATTTATAGCTGACCTTTCAACATATATATTTACACAAAAATTAACTAAATTATCACTGCTTGTCCTTCGGACCACCAAAGAGCCTGTTTTATCAAGAACTCAAATGCTAATTTTTAACCTGACTTGACAAAAATTGCTCACTTGAAATTTACCCTTGTCCCTCAAAATTTCTGTCTCCTGAGGGCCAATCTTCTCTTCCTTCTTGGTTATAACAAGTATTATTGTAAAATATCATGAATAGGTAGGTACTCTACTTAGAATTTTACTGGTTACCTATCTGATGTATTTACATCAATTTAATGCTTAGTATGTTTTACAGCACTCATGAACTTCTATAATGAGTAATAGCCCAGACTTGATCTAATTGTCACCCTGCTTTTCTCTTTATAGGGGGACTCCAGTTTAGTGACAATATTGAATCGAATCTGATCGACCATTACATTCCATTTTTGCCATTAGAAAAGTCGCACGTTCGATTATGCATTCTCAAGGAGCTGACCTATCATTATGGTTTTCATCCAGATAACAAAGAAGAGATTGTAAATGAAGTTTTCAAAACAGTCACGTTTGGTCCCAAGCCTGAGAAAATTTTCTCAACAAGTGGTTGCAAGCGCATTAGCCAACAAGTTGCCACTTTAGTTACAAAATCAAAATGGAGATCCAAGTCCGAACTGTAAAAGTTAACATTTTTACTTTGACAGACTGATATTACATATTCTGCAGACACCATCAGGTAAATACTCAAGTAGCAGCGATCGCTATAAACAGCGATTTTATCGGTTGGTTATCGTGGTTATATCAGTGGCAATATATCGAGATATTATCGCATTAAAAATCGCGATATATGGCGATTAAATCCCTACAAATCGCAATCTTTGGTTTGATAAAATCGTGATCAATTTTTGTTGATAAAATCGAGGTTGAATCGCCATATATATAAATTTTTATTTCTAAAATATCGCGATAAATTGTCGGGCAATAAAAGCGCGATTTTATCGCGAGATGAAGAGATGAATCGCTCGTTTATTGAGGATAATCGCTCAGATGTTGATGATCCTGGCGATTTTTCCATGAGGTGATTCGATGGACGCCATATTTTGTGTCAGAACGGCATGCGATATATTGCATCAATTGACTTCATTTTTTCAGCTACTCGTCATTTTTCTCCAATTTTGAAATCGCAATTCTGTTGTCAGGAGTCTAAAGCACTCACTTACCAATTTTAACAAAGATATTCAATGTAATAAAGGCCCTGGTTTTTTCAGAGAAAAAACAACGCATTCGATACTGATATTGAAACTGCACTCGAATGCGATATTTTCTCTCTGAAAAAACCACGCCTTTATTATGTTGAATTTCTTTGTTAAAATTGGTAAGTGAGTGCTTTAGCCTCCTGGCAACAGAATTGCGATTTCAAAATTGGAGAAAAATGACGAGTAGCTGAAAAAATGGAGCCAATTGATGCGATATATTGCATGCCGTTCTGACACAAAATATGGCGTCCATCGAATCACCTTAAGAAATGCTACTTGGGTAAGTAGTTGTTTACGAGAGTCCATGGCTTATGAGTTGACTAATTTTCAATATGAGGCGGAAGATCCTTCATCTTGATTACTGCATCTACTTTAATGCTGAAATGAGCATGGCATATTATCTACCCCACTCCAAAATTTGTTCAACCACATAAGCAATTTGGCATGAAATACGACTGATATTCACTGTTGACTTATTACACCTTCTGTTGATTGTAACTTTACCGCCAGTCCATGAGCCGTAAAATGGTCAAAAGCATAAAAGTAAATTTATTGATAACACTGTACTTGGTGTCACTTGCTGACATATTGTTTGGAAATGAAATTCCAGAAACAATCAAGTGTACAAAGTTTAAATGTTTGATCAAATCATATCTATAAGCAGGATGCTTCTTCTTGAGGTCAGTTACATGAAAAGATTACTGCTGACATCTCCAAAAATAGCAAATTAAAAACTTTTGCCTGATCTCTGTAATTTTTTTGCCTTTTCTCAAGTGGTTTTACTGAAAATAATCCTCTAGAGTAAAACATCAAATAGCAACGTGTGTACATCAAATAGCCTTTATCTCTTGTAACTTTTAAGATTTTTTTCGTTGAAAATGATTGTTATTTTCTCAGTCAGTTGTCCTCAGGGACTAGGTACACAACTGAATTTCTAAAATATTTTTTTACATAACTTTATGCTGTGTTGTATTTCTCTTTCAAAGTTTTTAAGCCAACGACATACCAAAGGAATTAATTGAACAATTTAGGTAACTTTTAGCAAGAAATTTTTAATGCTGCACTCACTGTTTTTACTGTGTGAGTTTTGATCAACCGTTGACCGTCAAGAAATCAGAGGAGTGGCAACAAGAAGTATACTTGAACCAGTGGGAATGAAGACACACCAACTCCAAAAAATGGAAATGTTCAAGAGTTACAAAAATTAAGAAAGACTTCTTGGCACCTAAGACACAGACTTATAACAAGACATTTTAAGCATCTCAAAAAAAATCATTTTTTCGTAGTAAATTTTTTACCTACTATGCACCTTTTTGTGTCTCTCTTACGTTTCTATTTTTGTGTGTTTTAATTTTCACTGATTCAACAGATTGATGATGCCTGAGGAAGGGTATCCATGAACAGTACAGTATTCGGTACAGTTTTCGAAAAAAATAAAAGCCCATTTTAACGTTTGAAATGGTTTCCCAACAAAGTATGCGGATCAGTTGGTTAAACCAAAGGCTATTTTTTAAAAGTAGATCCTGTAGTTCTGAAACCTATCAATAGTTTGGGGAGGGGGGGGGGAGAATTTATAAATGTGTATATTTTAAAGTACGCCTCTCTCCTGGCATTGTTCTCAATCACAGTTCTTAAGGTGAGAATCCATCCTCTGCAGGAGTAAGTAGAAAATATAGTGGAAATAAATTTGTTTTTGATTTGCAAATCAAAATGATAATCCCGGATTGATAGCTGCATGTATTCCAGCGATGTCTTTACCAGTACTTTACTTACAGAACTTTTTTGTCACACAAAACCATTTTACATAACGCTAAGTTGTTACAAATTTGAAAAGTAAATTATAATTAAAATATGGGAAGATTTTAAGAATTTTAGGAATGGTCTACTTCTTTAATCGCAACCATTTTACGATTGGTAAAAAGTTACGCGTTTGTCATTGCTGTAACATCGTGAAAATACAAACAGCAGCGAATCTTGGATTATCATTTCCCTTAATTTCCAATGGCGGACCAAAAATGACTTTCTGCCCATCCATTTTAATATTTCTTGTGTAGGAGGTAATGAGGTACACTCTTACCCTCAGATTTCATCCCTCAAAAGTGTAATAATAGTATAAGCTTGGATTTAGGGGAAGGTTCTCTGATCATTTGATAGCTACTTTGAAGTTCTGTTTCCTTTGGACATTTGCCTAATGTTAAGGCTCCTTAGTGGCACCACATTATTTATTTCCGTTTTAATTAGGATTAAGGATTATTTTTAATTACGATAGGCTGTGATATTTAAGTTTAAAATGGTGTCACTCAATTTATTGTCAATGCAATGGACCCATAACACTATCATCCAGGGCAAAGTGTCCTCATGCAGTTGAATTTGAGAATGTAAATTTGCCAGCATAATTTTTCAAAGTTTTCTGGAAATTTTCTCTAGGTGGCGAAAAAAGAATAAATTTGTTCCTTATTATTTTAAATAAAAGTAGATTATAGAACTACTCCATGTCTTTGGCAGCTTTTTTCAAGGAAGGGTTTGAATAGCTGAAATTGTGCCAGAAAAAATCTAGAAATGTCTATTTTATAATGGAACTTCGTCTGTTAATAAAAGTATGTTTGATCTGAAATTGAAACTTTTATAAATCTCGCATTAGAAGTAATCATGATCCAAAAAAATGTGTAAGCCTCAATTCCTGTTTCATATTAAATTGTGACATCCTTTTGTACTTTCTGTGTTAGTATGTGATTATCCGTATATTTTACGTCTGATGGAAAATTTGGACTTAAGGTGAAGTCAGGGCCATTACGGCGACTTGGAAAAGCTAGGAAATTCATGAGAAAAATTAGGGAGTTTTCGAGTAGTACATTGGCTAAGCAACTTTAGCCGGTACCATTCGAGAGAAGGCAAACAACTTCAGAGTGCCTTTTCCCTTAATTTTAGTCTCTAGCAGTGAAGATTTTGTCCGTAGTGTGGCGAAAGTTAGCATAATCAAAAGAAAAGAAATCCTACGGTTTTGATCGACCGTTAGACTATTTAAAACCTTTGGAGTTAAGGAGAGGCAAAAACAGTCAGGGAATTGGAAAATGAAGTAATCATAGGAAATCTGTAATGGCGATAAAATGAGCCCACCATTCATCAAAACATTGAACAATGTGTCAAAGGCAAACGCTTTGATGAGATAATCAAATTAATTTTATTAAAAAAACAACATACTTCTTTAACAAAACCAAGAAAGCAAAAGACTTTGTTAAAAGGGCAGCTTATGTGGCAGGCTTTAGCTACACAGTACAATTACATCGATCATATTTAGTTTGGGGTGACAATCACGACTGTCTTGCTGCAGTGCTCAAAATTCCCAGTTTGTCAGAACAATACTGAGTGTTGGTAGGTGGAGTTTGAATTCTTGGTAAAATTTTTTTAACATTTAAACATTGTCCAAAAAAGTTATTGCACGACATCTGGAACGTTCTCGGAGGACCTCCAGGATTGTTACTTACATTTTTATACATTTCTAACAGAGCTCCACTCACCTGCTCCATCATTGGTTGTGAGAAAGTAACATAAGTATTAATTTTTTGTAACATGTTGCAGATGTCATCACTAACAAATACATCCTATAGGTCAGCTAGAAACAGATTCCTCCCACAGGGTTCAAGACCGCTTGAAAAATCCTAGAATTCTTGGGGGGGGGGGGGGAGCTTAAAGGTTTTTAACCTCTGTATCATCTGATAATTTGTACACAACAGCTCATGAAATTGGTCTCCTTCTCTATAACTTCCAAAATGTCAAATAGTGTCCTACGATTGCATCTTCACCAATCGAGAGCAGAGAATAAAAATACAAGAGAAGGAAAAAACTTCAATTTTCAAGGCATTCTCTTAAGTGCTAAACATGTTTGTGTACCCTCAAAATTAGATTTAAATTTTTTTAAAATCTTGGAAAATTCTTTCGAGTCCTTGATTTTACTAATGAGACTTCTTGAAAAGTTCTTTGAGTCTGAAAAGCTGTCTCAGTCAGCTGATTTTTGTTTTGAGCTGATTCACAGTTTCTAGATAAGTTTATGATGGTGAGCGATTCTGATTTTGCATACTGGAATCAACTTAACGGTACAACCAGCTTTAAGCTATAAGACGAATTCAAAAGAAAGATAAAGATGATATGGATGGGAAACTTGTGATTTTGACAGACTAACTTCAAGCCCCGGCAGCCTCAACCATTGAGTACATTTAGGAGCCCCCTAGAACAAACCAGTTGTTGGATACAACTTTTCGACAGCAGGTCCCAACTCAACTGAAAACGAAAGTTTCTGGCTTTGGTAGATTGATATGGCTTGAAATTAGAGAAAATTTCTTACCTTAAAAAAACATACATGATTCTCTCTTCTCCTTTCTTCTCCATTTTTTTACCCCTTCAAAATTGTGTAAAAAAAAAAAGGCTTAGAGTGAGACAGAAGATCTGCATCTTAATTCTACTATTTACTTTCAATGCTAACTTAAAGGCAGCAGATCTTCTGTTGCGGTCAAAATCTGTTAGGACTCATTTGACATCAACATTATAACATGCGCCATGACAAATTTTCAGGGGAGTGTCAAAAACGTCACATTTAACAATGAACTCGACAGTCCTTTGAGCATAAAATAAGGCACGAAAAAGCGAATTTTGAGCAAAAATTGTCTACTTCAAGTCTCAATTTATAATATAACAGTCATGATTTAAATCATCCCATTATTCCCTGGCACTGGCTGAACTCAAAGTCTTATCTAGAAACTGTGAACCTGTTGCATTGATTATCAAACATGAGCAATTGTTTTTGCTCTATGACCTGCTTCCGAGCAATCATGCCAATTAAGACCCTAATGTCAAGTCAAAATTCCCTTCTTTTTTAAGCATTCCTTCCTTTCAGGAATTTTCTTGCCATTCAGGTATTTTATTTACTTATTGTGTTTGGAACTAGTCCTATTACATTAACATTTATTCCTACAAATTAGAATGGATTTGAGAATCCGCAGTTATCTAGCGCGCAACTGAGCGAATACATTGGTAACAAGGGCAAGCTATGTTTGCAAAAATAAGAACTTAACAATTACCAAATCAATGAAAGCCAAGAATGGACTACACTTGAAAGAAAAAAAAGAAAAAAAACCTTAGAAGCAATAAATAAAAATGAGTACGAAATCATGATGCCAGGTAAAAGTAACTTAATTGTAAATATATCACAGTCTAAAAATAAACAGCAAATTTAAAAGAATACAGTTAGTTAGCAGAGTGGAAGTCCATTTCAATATTGAAATTGTCTGTAATTTCACGAACAAAGACTTTAGGGAAAAACCCAACCTGAAAAAAAGAAACAAAATTAATTTAATTGATTATTTATAGATGTAATTGTAAGTGCTTCTGACTCCAAAAGAAAAAGAAAAAGGAAAAAAGCTTACAAAACTCATGAACTCATGAACTTAGGTATTCAATTTGACCAAAATTTCAACTGAAATTACTGAAATTAAAGGTAATAAAAAAAAAAAAAAAAAAAAAAAAAAAAAAAAAAGATAAATTACAATTAAGTGAAGGTTGCCAGGCATGGGGCTATTCCGACTATTCCTGCATTTGTGTTTGCAACCATGTAGATTTTCCATAATTTTCATTATCTGATAAATGACTGATCATCATTTCACAAATTACTGGGTAATTTTTAATGTTTTCTGAAAGAATAAAGTAACATTTTCAGCGAACCCAACCTGTTGACAAAATTGGTCTCGGTGCTGTGAAATAGACAGCTTAGGATGTCTTTACAAAACGTGGAATTCCAGATGAAAGCTTTGAAGTTGCCACAGAAAAAATACTTTCCAACTACCCCCTACTGTGAGGGTGAATGTGAGAAAAGGCATGTTCAAGCACCACCAAGACCAATCCACACAGGTCAGTCATTGCGCATATTTTTGAGAGCCACTTCCCCGCCCAGCCCTAACTCAGCTGCACTCAATACTACGTCACAATGGGTGCTCCCATAAGAAATACATTGCAAGCACTCGATACTACGTCACTGCGCAGTAGAGTACCAAAACTCATCCACGGGAATGTCTGACCTGTGTGGATTGGTCTTGAGCACCACTGTAAAATTTTAAAGCTGACACTGGTTGTGATTTTGGGGTGAGAAATTGATTCTCCCTAAGCTACACCTTAAGGGATAACGTCAGTAACTGTTGATATGGAAAAATTTAGATTGAGACTTACACGATCCTGTACTTTGCCTTTCCACCATCCTTTATGGTCTCCTTCTTTGCTTAGTACGATGACTTGACATCCTTGCTTCAAAGGTAACAGATTTGGCTCAACAGGATTGAAGTCAAATTCCGCCACAGCTACTATTCTCTTAAATGGCCACTGTAGTTGAACATTTAGTCTGCAGAGAAAACATTAGGGACAAATGAAAGACAATACACATTCACTAACAGAAAAAGTCTACTAACTATGAGAGCTCTACAACATTTTAAACTATAAACTATAGTAAGTTTTTATGTTGCACCGACAGAAAAACTTGTTAAAAAAGGGAAAACTTTCTGAACACTTGAAAATTTTTTAAACCAAGTGCAAAATAATTTTAGCCCGAAGATTACAGACAACAGTCATTAGGTAGCTATTGTCATTGTGCTGATGTGGCGCAATTGCGTTGTACTTTTAAGCTGAGCTCATACGCCCTCCACAGGCAACATGTTGATCACAGGAGTATGAGCACCGCATGTGCATAAGCTATTCTTTTATATGCGAATGAATAGGTAAACATATAACTTAAACTCCAAATTTCATTTGTCCAGGCAGTGTCCTTGCTTGCATATGGGGATAGAAGTGTCAAATGAGAAGAAATTTTGATTCGTCCCTTTCAAAAATAATATAGCAAGATAATCGAATAGTCTAATAGAGTAACTAATCACCAGAGTATACATATACAGCTTATAAAATAAAGGAAAACAGATTTAATCTAATTCTTGGTCTATAGATAAGTCAACAAACATTAATAATAGAGCTATAACCTATTATTTTTTTAATAACACTGTTATTTAGCCCTGAGCCCTGATCTCAGATGTTCAAAATGTTCCATGTGAAACTTATGGAAGTCAACTTTTCATGTAATACTTCAATCCTCGCTTGCTTTAGCAGTCCATTAAAGGAGGAAAAAAAAGCTGAATGCCTTTGAAATATGCTGAATGTTTGGATGTTAATCTTACCCTATAAAGTTTTCACCTAAACTTGTATGCTCATAACAGGAGATGAGGTCAACAAGAGATCGAAAAAAGCGAGATTCCGATAGATAATACTCAACAGTTCCATCTACTTCCCGTTCGTAAACTTTCATATGCTTCACTTTGTTATCACTCCTGAAAAGAAAATAAAGAAAAACTGAAAAATCCAAGAAAGATTAAGAGAATACCGCTTCTACAAGAAGGGAAGGCAAAAATACTTAAATTAAACGGTTCTACTGTAAAAGAAAGACAAAGTAATGCATTTCATTTTCCTCCAGGAATTGATAATGAATAAAAAGTTCGGTGTTTTCCTGTCATGATTAGATCCTTCTATTGAAGCTAATGAGCTGCATTTTGAAAGACGTTACATTGGCACAGCATGTACAAAAGGTAAATTTATGTCAGTGAATTTGACTCTCTTTTGAGCTTGATTAGAAAGGTATGCGAACTGACAAAGAAAAATACTTACCAGAGGTCAAGAACTAAACTCTATGGTTCAATGATTTGCAATCAACATTTGCATCCATCCATTCCTCGATCCACCTAGGGAGGTGGGTTAAAAATTTTGGATGTGGTTTCAATTGCCACGAACATGAAGATCACAGGTTCCAGGCGTGCCGTAGCCTGGAAGGAACTTTCTTCTGTTGTGCTGAAGGTTGGCAGTAAGCCAAAAACTTAACATAATCCTCTCGCTGAAAATCGCCTACTGATGCTCAATGATTGAAGCAATCATGATTAAAACTGGATTTTTATGCTTCCAAGCTGAATACTTTTGCGTACTTTGGTCCAGCATACTCAATCAGAATAATTTTTAGGATTTTACTGGCTACAACGAGCAGTTTAGCATTCTCAATTTTTTAAGACTTCATCTCCTTTAGTAAAAGTAGAAAAAGATATTGATTGCTATCAGTCTTCACTAAATCTATGCTAATACTTGCATTCCTTCCCAGAGATAATCATTGGAGAGAAGTATTTGGTGTTTCAGTGCTGAGTACTTACTTCAAGCTGAGGGCGTAGGCAGTTTCATTGGGATGCGTCGGTCCCTGCGGTCTGATTCTGAGCAGGAAGGTCCCGTCCATCTGCCATTCGAGTAGCCTCTCAGCTGTCTCCCGACCCATGGAGCCGACAAACCACAGATAATCGGTGAGACCATGATCGGATGACTGTGCTGGAGACCATGACCAGTCGGACGGAAGTGGCGGGACTGCCTGTGGTAATTCTGCAACCAGAGGATCACTCAGCGGGGATGCATGACGGGCCGGTAACTGGGGTGGCTTGAGCCCACAACGACCAGTAAAAGAGATGCACTGCTTGTGCGCTGCCAAATAGCACTTGTCGCAACGGTACCCTTGATAGATTATGCCTTTCAGAAATTTGCTACAATGACTGCACGTTGTTGGACGTTCAAAAGTGTGCATGGAGAATTTGTGGTCTGTGTTTCGGCATGCCGATGGCTCGATATTGTCACTGTGACAGAAAATGAAACTTGCATATATAAAGTTGTTGAAACATAAATAAAGCTGACTCTTAAGAATAACAGAGCTGTTATAATCTCTACTAAATTTTGATTGATTTAGATGATTTGATAAATAGAACCTTGCCAAAATTAAGGATCTAGAAAATAAAGGATCACAAATCAAAATATTTCAGTGGTACCCAATTTTTTTCTTTAAAAAATTCATTTTTTGAAAGAATGGAAGGAGCTGAACTACTAGGAATTTGTTCATATTTTGTTAAGCCTTAATGGCAAAGAAAACCTGATTTGAAAATGCCAGAAATGGAACCTTTCAGAAACGAAGTTTTTGGCAAGCTCTGATGAAATAGCCAAATGGGCTGTTTGGCATTTGCTGAATGGCTGAACCCAACTTTGGGCACTGCCTTGTTACATCAACTCCCCTTTCGGCTTTTGATTAGACGGATTTTAATCAGTTAGAAACACCTTTTTAATCTATTCACTTTCAACACTTTTTTTACGAAATTATAATTCAGGGAGACTATCCTATAATTATGCTAAAATTAGTTGTTACAGCCATACTGGCACGGCAAGACAGACTTTGATGGCCTTAGCATATTAGTTTTTTCAAATTTTTGCTTAGTCCAATTATTTCGTTTATGGTTATTCAAACAAGTATCTGGAGTTGGAAATAATGACAAGCTTTCGCAAGAAATATCATGAGAATTTTTTTAAATATTACATTATTTATTGTATAAGTGAACAACTCCAAATCTTTTCATGAATTTGAAAAATGCTTAAGTTTCTAAAATGAAAAATCTCCTGTTTTATTATTTATCAGACCAAAATGTCTTCTAATCCCATCATACTTTAAAGCTGGAATTGCAGTCAATTCGCAGTTAGCTCATATTTGTATCTTTTTACATAACTTCCTGGGACTAGGACTAAGCATTTGTACAGAAAGCTAATCCCAGGATTTCAGGTGAATTAGGGAAGTTATCCCCATTTTTAGCTAAAATTTTCATGATCTTGGGGCCCTTGAAAAACGGTATCTTAGTTACTTACAAAGCATCCTGAATGGCTTTTATCCACTTTTTCTTGAGCTCCTCTGTGCGTGCATACATTGTGTAGGCAAAGCGCTCCCCTTTCCGCAACAGGAACCAATGATAGTTCCAGCGAGATTCACGGTGGAGTATTCGTTTGGAACCAGCATCCTCAATCTTGTAATCTCTCAACATGAGGGACTCTTTGAAACAATATTGGTCTCCCTAAACAAATTGCAATGCCCCGTCTTTAGAAAACACATTCAAAACAGAATAATATGAAGACAGAAAAATCATTTGGATACAAGTAAAAGATATCTGTCACTTCATTTCTGTGGTTCCGAGGGGTTTTTCATTGCCTGAGCTAAAATTCATGAGCCCATATAGTTAGTCAGCATCAAAGATGATGAGCAGTTGGATCATTTGAAATTCATCTGAAAAAAATTCAGGAAAAAGACAGAAGGTGCAAAACATATTGCACAAAAAACAGATGCAAGAGCTAGAGAGGTTTTGTCTTCCCATTCTATTTAGCAAGAATGTACCACTAGACAAGGTACGAATTTCAGCATTCTGATACATGTTTCTTAACTAAAATTTCACGTAGAATACGACGCACACAACGAAGATTACCGAAAACAACTCCTTCCTAAGATATTTAATGATTCTTGATCCATGAATTCAAACCACCCGCTCATGAAAACTCAATGCTCTGCGTGATTCACATCGTGCGCTAAACGTTATCATGACAGTCTCTGCGATATAAAAATCTGGCAACCTCAATCTTGACGCTTATGCTCAGCAGTGGCAAATTGCTTATAGTTTGAACAACACATGGTGGGAAATGAACATTACTCAATTGAGAAGCTTGTTGAAACCGTTGAAGTGTGCAATTTGATTCACGTAGAGCTTTGAGTTTCTTGTCAGCGGGCAGTTCAAATTCCTCGTGACCAATGTGAAATAAAAACTTTAATATCTTCATATGGAGTTTAAGTCATTAGTTTTCGTTGCACAAATCGTGCTTTACGTGAAATTCTGGTTAAGAAACATGTATCAGAATGCTTAAATTCGTACCTTGTTTAGTGGTCCATTGTTTGACACTTTCAGGGCAGCAAAATAGTAAATAAAGAGCTCAGTGGCTCTTACAAGTTGACTAAGTTCTTTCATACAATCCAATTTTTCAGCCAATAAAGATCAGAAAGATGAAAGACATCCAAGATTTTACTGATTCACAAGTGATAAGCACAACAAGGCCTTCCTTGGCACTTTGCGGTCACAGAGCCACATAAATGGATGTATTTCTACCAAACGAAATTATATGCATTATGCCGTGAGCTCTGTTATGCATATATTTGTATGGGTCTCAGGGCTCATGTCTCAATGCACATAGTTCCATTTGGTAGAAATACGTCCAAATGAGAGTCTCAAGAAGAGAGTAAAGGAGGATCAGTAAAAATTGAATTGCTAGAAACAATCAGGAAGGAAAAATGAGAAAATTTCTACCTGACCTTGGATTTTCATAGTTGAGGATAAAAAAAATGTTGCTCACTTAGTAGATTTAATCAATCAGGAGAATTTACTTATACCAAATTTGTTGACATAGCTTAAATGGGCAAAAAAATAGACTAGCTCATCTTGCTCACTTAGTAAATTTTTTCATTCCTGCGAGTTATCTTTTGCAGGAGTTGATTGTACACATATAAGAGAATTATACTTACTTTTAAAGCTTTGCACATGAGAATGACTTGATCGAAAATAAACACATATCTGAAAACGAAATGAATTTGTAATTAATCTATGGGGTTACTGAATTAGTGGTAAAGTCAATTTCATGAAATCAAAATCCAGATGTAATAATCTGAGGTAATGAGGTTCGATCAATTAATAAAAACAGCAGATCATTTTCAGTCATGTTGCATTATTTTCTGTGCTGGTTAATCTGTTATTTTTCTTAACTTCTCTTTCCTATTTGGCTAAAAGCATTTGAATATTGGTACCGAGAAGTGAGCAAATAAATATATCTTGGCTACAACTTTTACTCTTCAGACAGTCATGTAAGCTTAGGTAAACGTCCTGCAGGCTGATTGTTGAAATTGATAGACAAAACCATAGACAAAGAAAGCACAAAGGATATGGAGAGATCCTATTGGTGGAAGCGGGTGGTTGCAATGGGCAAAGGAGGTAGGTAATAGACTTAACTAACGGCAACTCTCGAGAGACCCTTTAGTTATTCAATCATTTACCCCCTTAGTCTACGATAACCATCCAAATTAACTATAGGTTTGCTTCATACTCATTATGTCCTCTTTGTCCATCAACAAGTCAATTTCAACAAGTAGCCACTGTAGGCAACAATGCAGACAACGTGAAATAAGTAGTTTTATTTCAGAGTCTGTAGCACATCAAAAAGCAGGGGTGCAAAAAGTTCAAAACGCCCACCATTTCTGCTGCGGATTAGCTTTACAGCCAAATTTCGACTTTGCCTCACAAAATATTACTTAGTTTTGATAGAGAATGCCAGATTTTGCGGCAAAATGTGAGATTTGCCCTAATTTTTAAAAATGATGGGCTTCAAAAAAAAGAATCCACCAGTTTTGAGAATTGCCTACTGTATTTCGTGAATTATAGGATTGCCATTATTTGCATTTCTGAGTATGACACTCTTGCATAATATGAATTTAAAACGTACGGATAAATAAAAAGGGACTGACCTGACTTTCACTTTTTGATCATTGTGAGCTTTGATTCTAAGCTCTCCATCTTTAATTAAACGGCCAAAATCTCTCAGTTCCATATTTTCAGCCAGACTCCAGTCTGTGATACTCGCCTGAACACATTAAAATGCCATGAAGATGAGAACAAATTAAACAGTAATAGAGGAGTTATGAGAGTGATTACACAAAACTGAGTCAAAGATAGTAGAACTAATTGTGCTGGTTTGAAACTAAGATGGTTGCCAGTTGGGCAAGTGATGAATTTGAACAATCCACTCACATAATAATGTAATGAAGTACTTGTAGAACTTCGATTATTCAGTTCCAGTCATCCAAAAAGAAGTTATTTCAGCTCAATTATTCAGACCACCATCAATATTTATAATAGACAGCCTGAGTAAAAAAGAAAAACTCTAGGGCAACGAATTAGCGTAAACATCCTTCCAAGTCTCAGTTGTCAAAAATCCATTCTTCAGTCTTGAAAAAATTATTTATGACAAAAGTGAAATACAACTTTAACTGTAAAAGCAGCAGGCTGAAGTGAGAAAATAATGTTTTGGGAGACCTATAGAAAATAAAACCCACTATAGCTGGTTAATTATTAATACTTATGGTTGCTAATGTGTCAAAATAAGATTAATGAAAAAAAAAATAGTCTTCAAACTTCTGCTGGTTGCAAAAATAATTACAATGTGCTTGGAATATCAAATAGTATTTAAATTGGCGAGTGACAATAAGGAAGAAGAGGACAAAAACTCTTAACATTAAATTTTAAATTTACTGACTGAAAATTACGCTTCCTTTACTTGTTTTCAATTTTGAGCAATAATATTCTGTCATTTACTGAAAACCAACCTGAATGTCAGCCATGATCTGAAGAGTGTCGCTGTCCTTTTTGACTTCATTGATATACTGGGCTACATCAATCATGGCTTCTTTCGCTCTTTCAAGGCCACGATAGTCCTCATGATTCTGTTGAGACAAATTTAATGTACAATTAAGGCAACAAGCTGACACAAGACTTCCCTATTACATCATAAAAAACAATTCTTACACTACTTCTGATTGATGATAGATACTCCCTAAACAGTAGTTTAATTGTGAAAGTTTCACAAATAACACAGAGGATTGCTCCACCGTTTCAGAGAGGGGGTCACTTCAGAAAATTTTCAAGCAGCACATACTGAGAATGCAACTCATAGCTAATCTTGGCTAATCTATGATCAGCGAGTGTGTGGTCGCGAATCCTTTTTGCAAAGCCCGTTTTACAAATAAGATGTCTTTTTACATTCCAGATGCTATGGCTTTGAGGTCGTGCCTTAGTAGGCTTGAACATGGAGAGTTGATGTTGATTGAGAAATCATCAATATCTTTGCTGAAATATTCCAGGCGCTCGAAATGATTTGGAGGGAAATAAAATAGATAAAACAAGAAATAAGAACTATATTCATAACATACTTACTGGCTGTGTCTCACTGATTAGTTTATCCAGAAGAAGATGGTATTTGAGTATCCTCTGCATTGGAACGGACAAAATATCACGAAGTTTGAATTTATTGTTGTTGGCTTCTTCTTGACAAACCTAAAAGAGGAAACATTGAGACTGAGGTTGCCATTTTTTCATACTGCAGAGCCTGTTGTGGTAACGGTTAGTGTGCGATTCGACCAATGTAGATTTCTATTTATTCATGAGTAGGAGGTTTGAATTTACGCATCAAATAATGTTGAACATTTTTGCTAGGAGCTTATTACAGTAATATTTATTGCACAAATCGTTTTCTACGTGAAAATTTGAATCGGAAACATGTATAAGAATGCATAAATTTGCACTTTGTCTAGTGGTCCATTAACATGGCAATAAGACCAGAATATTGATAAATATGTTATATATTATGTATGCCATACAAAAAAAGAGATAGAAAGGATGTGTCCAAGATCATTGAAAAGTTTTCCATGCCTCTTTTGTATAAAATGTTAAAAATAATGAGAGAGATGAGGAAGTTAATTACCTGAATCAGTTGATTGATATTTTCACTACGATTGCAAATCTCTTGGATTTTATCTTGAGCGGTGGTGAGGTTTGCACAATAATCGCCATAGATCAAGAATTTCTCTCGCCAATTCAAGAATGTTTCACTTAGCTTGATCATGCTATTGGGTGTTGTGGCTTTCCGCAGCTGACTCAAGAATCCACCATGAATTTCAGCTAGTTCCTGAGGCACAAAAACTTAAAATATCATTGCAGGCAAGCAAAGATAATATAAATAATAACATGGTTATTGCAACTTTGTATTAATTGATATAAATTTGGTCCGCTTAAACCAGAATTAGCCTGACCGCAGTACATGTTGCCATATCTAAATACATACTGAACATATCTAAAATTGAATGACTTTTCATTTTTAACCTGGTTGAGCAGTGTGCGCATGGCTGAAAGGGCTTTCAGATGGCATGCAGAGCTGCTCATCAGGCGTACAGGCCGCTTGATAAGCTCTCCACCGAATTGCTCCCTATCCTCACTACAGAACACTTGGCGGAGGGCTCAATGAGCGGCTTGTCAAGTTGCACATCAGGCAGCCTGATGAGTAGCTTGGCAAGCTGTCAGAACGCGCCTTCAACCGAACCTGGTAATGAAGGAATTAAATATGGCATTCTTAAAAGTCTGAAAAAGGGGGAATTTTTTTTTCTTAAGGTCTCTGAAAAAAGGCTGCTCGCTAGATACAAAGAATACAGTATATGAGTAAAAATGATAATTTTTCCAAGCCCATTTTGATTCTTCTTCTTTGATTTAAACACCTATTATATCCTTTGGTGTTTTCAATTGTGACGTGCGAAAGAAAACTGAACAGCTGTCAGAGGAGGATTACCTTGATGCCCCAAAAAATCACTCTAAAATCATCATCTTTCAAAACGTTCTGGAGGGGCCGGATGAAACATTTCTGGAGGGTACCAAGCACATCGACATAGTTTTTCTCCGTCTCCACCAGTTCATTGATGACATAATCACGTTTTTCTAAATTATGACTAATTGGGGTAGGAACCTGCAAAGAGAAATATGTACCATAAAATCAATGTCATTTTTAAAAAACAGAAGAAAAAAAAGAAACGTAAATACTGGTAGTATTAACTATTTTATTTGTGAATATTAATTCTTCAATTAAAACTATTTGAGCAGCAACTGTCGATCTTCAAGAGTTCTCCATCTAAAATGGTTAGAGTTTTGATCCAAATAAACGGAAAAAGTTTATTTCAATGATATACCAGGAATGTGTGCATCAGACAGGGCAGATATTTACTTTGGCTGCCGAATAAGATATTTTTGACTTCAGTGCAGTCCTGCAGTGTTCAATTGTTACATAGAATTGGGCTGGTTATAATTGAGCTCTGATTGAAATATTATGAAATTCAAACCTATTATTTGCAGACCGTTTGAAAAGAGAGCACAATAATGAACTTATTTTTCTTCTTTCAATTTGCAGCTGCGCAATATTAATGGAGCAAATACAAAAATATAGGGACTGCAATAAAAAAGGGGGGGACACTAGTTACTATAGCATTTAAGAGAGAAGTGAAAAAAAACTGAAAAAGGAAACAATGATTGATGTTTTGCGCAATGGGTATTCAATCAGGGGGTATTCAGTCTAGAAGCAAAATTGCTGAATATCTTCAGGAACAATGAGGAAAGGCATGAAAAATTCACAACTTGCGAACAGTGATTACAGCAAAAAGAAACGTTGGTATTTGTTAAAAAGTGTCCAAAAGTACTATAACTTTGTAGATTTAGGAGCTTCTCCTTCAAAAAGTATAACATAAGGATCTAATTTGAGCCAGCGCTCTCTTCATTTTCCAATCAAAATTGCTTTTTGCCTTAGCTCTGTCATTATTTCCTCGACTTAAAGTTCTCCGCTCTTCTTCATTCATCTTGCTTTTCAGCTGATTAAATTTCTTAAGTGGTTTGCCTGCTCAGCAGAAGTTGCTGAAATGATTGCAGAGACATCGTGATAATGTTTGTGCGACCTTTTTGGCAACTATTGCCAGGCAGGTGATAGAGTGAAAGTTAAGGCTCACTTAGTCCGTTAATTTGATATGGTCTGCCAACAGATTCCTCCTAAACCTCCTCCATTCGACATAAATTCATATGAACTGCTTTCACAGCACTCTTTGCCACCCTGCAAACTGAGCCTGACCGGTGTGGTCCACTGTCCTTCCAAAGCCCATCAGGGTGTTGGCACTGTCTCATTTTTCATACAACCCCCTAACGCAACTTTTTGGCATCCCCTTCATCTCCTCCCAAGAGGAACCCAATTCAGCACCTTCTTTGGCAGCCTTTCTTCTTTCATCCTGATAATATGATCATACCAACATACCATTCATATGAAAACAAACAGAAAAACTCTTTTTATGATCAAAAGTTCATACTTCCCAATTTATGATTTTATTTAAGAGGGTGTACCACATGATAATAGCCATTTTGGATTCCGAATGAAATTTTCACACTGGTATTACTCATTTGTCTCAAATAAGATCTTTGTCATATTATATTTAAGGATATTGGAAATTCAAACATCCCCAAAATTCTAAAACATATTATAAGGTAAGGGGTAAATTTTGGGCTCTGTCCATGTTCCACTGTAATTTTGGAGTGAATAGCTATCAGGAATAACTCCTTTTTTTTGCTTCAGCTGAAGTTTGTAACAAGGCCATTAATACCAAATTCTGGAGAGAAATTAAAAAGTCAAAACTTAAAATAAGCCATCTCTATACCGTAGGTGGCAGTAGCCATCTCCAAACAAAGTCTAGATGTGACAACAATGGAAGTGGCCTTACAGAGAGTAAACTTTTTCAATGGAGATGACTTTGATGTGAAACTCTAACAATATCGCCAGCTTTCCCTGGAAGTTATGAAGTTTATGGAGTTTCCTTTTCCCACAAAAGATTTAAATAGAGGGACAAAGTTGAACAGGAATAAACAAAGTGAACTTCTCTGAGAGTACTCACATGGGTGCCATTGGTAGCTTTTTGTTTATCGATTGAACACAAGTCCTGATAAATTTCCTCATTGTGAGCATGAGTATCGTACATGGAGTACTGCTCTCCTCCTATAGCACCACGAGGTGAGACATCCTCACTGGGTGAAAACAAAGCATGCAGATTAAATAAAAAATAATAAGCTAAAAATGCCTCTTTAGGAGTCACTTTGAAAAAAACGTCACAGCAACTAAAAAGAGAAGCTTGAAAATTATTAGTGAACACTAAATGTTGTAACTTAAAAATTTCCACCGATTAAAACAGGGCTGAAGCAACTTGATAAAATATTCAAAGCTTTATAAAAATTAATGCAACTTAAAGACACTGATTTTGATTGGTAACTGCTTATAATTGGTTGGCATTTCCAAAAGAGATTTTAATTTGGAATGACATTCTTTCATGAAACAAGCAAATAATAGTATGACTCAGGCAATTTATTTTTTAAATGAGCGATTTCATTAATTTGACAAAATGGTGAAGCAAAGATACTTGTAAACATGGGGAACAAGCGATACAAAATGGAGTTATTAAATGAAAACACAGCTGGCACGCAAAATTGAGGCAAAATCGTCGAGAAAAAAATTGGCAAAATGAATAAAAAGTAACTGATTGCAACCACAATATTAATATAAAATCCTAATAAAGGTAATATGATACTTCCAAAATTTAAAAACTCAACAAACCAAAGGAGTACTGGCGATGGACAAGGATGAAGCAGAGTATCTTTCCATTAACATAAACAGTTTAAAAAAGAGGAAAGGACATCACTTCTAGAAATATAAAGAAATTTTTAATGGGTAAAAAATAAAAATTGAAGCTTTTAACTGGAGATACATTGCTCGCTATTGCGCCAGGAAGAAGAAAAAAGTGAGAAGCAGTTTTGATGTGCTAGAATGCTATTATCAATTTCTAATTTTGAAACCTTCATTTATTGATGGATAAATGATTAACAGGAGAGTAAAAGAAAAATCAATCTATGTTTTAAAAAACTTTTAAGTAAATTTAGAGGCAACTAATACATAAGAGAAGCTGGGTGCACTGCCATTCGACTAAATTTTACAACCAGAAAAAAAAAGGAACAAAAAAAGAGAGTGATGCAAAGGGGAAACAGGAGTGTTGACTGGAAAACTGAAAAAAAAAACGGTAACAACCACAAGGAACAAAACTCCAAGATACTACTCAAAGCAGGCCAAGAGCAGGAGGAATGATAGATTAAGGCATGAAAAAAGAAATACGCTAAAGGATAAAGAAATAGGAAAATAAAGAAGATGGACAGAACGAGAAGAAGTACCTCGGAAGAAAATGTTACACAGCAAAGAAACTCATAGATTTGCTCTTCGTCCTCTTCACATTGCGGAGACTTAATTTTAAACTGAAGCCAATTTTGACTTTTCTGCGAGCCACTTTTATTTGTATCCAACTCAGCAGAAAGGCTATAAACGAAACAAGTGATAACAAAGCGATTTGTAATAGGGCAATGAAGAGAGAAGAAAGGGGAAAATACACCAAGAAAGCAAATTCAGCCTTCCTAAGCACCCTTGCAAACTGCACTAGTTACAGAAGTCAGATTTTGCTTTCATAACGTTGTCTCATTTGTTTTCATAACGTTGTCGTTAACTCTTTCTCTTTTTCTTATTAAAACTTTGATCCACAAGGAATTCCTATTTTTTTAATGCATATTCATGGTCCGACTAGGAATGCATGAAAATCGATTAAGTACACGAGTCTGCTAACATTTTGTTTGTTGTTATTTTTTTCTTTCTACAAAACGCTGAGGATATGATTAATTGCCTAAAGAATTTTAAGTTTTATTTCTATTATTTACTTCTTATTCATTGTTTTAGAATCTTTATTACTTCTGCATTAAGTAAATTTCAAGGTCATGAGTAATTTTCAGCGCTGATTCGCCATTTTGGCTTTATCAGCAAATAAAGTTGCAAGAATAAAAAAATATTGAATGAGCTAAAAGAATGTTTGGACTTTATTTTGCAACTGGGAACTACTATTTTTGGGTCAATAATAAAAACACATATCGGCAAAGGGAGATTAATGGCACATGTTTTGTTTCTAAAATGAGCCAAAATACTCAAAATATAATTTTTAAACCTTTTTTTTTTTTTTTTTTTTTTGGGAGTGCTGAGGAAAGAATATTTTCTGCTAAGATACTGCCTAATGCAATATGAGCCATGCCCCGCTTTCTGATTGTCGCCTTTAAATTTGACCATCTTTCCTCAAATCATCTTGCGAATAGAGCTTTACACGTGAGATTTTTTGTCTATTAATTCGAGTTCGCTTAAGCAGAATTACATTCTTTACCCTAACTAAACCCTTCATATTTATGCTCCAATAATTATCTTGCAATTAAGCAAGAGAAATGAAACACGCCCTCTCTCTCGACTGTTCAGCAGTACATGTTCTATGACACAATTTTTTTTCACAACTTCATTTTACGTAGATAAAAATATTTTCTCCATACATGAGTTAGAAATTACTGCAATTATATACTCTCTTGAAGAAAAAAAAAAGGCCTCCTGCCGTATTCACATGGAATGTTTCCTTTTTTAGAAAGAGACAATTGAGGTATGCCTCTCCTCGTCTACTGGTCAAAACTAACCCTAAAACATTATCCATTACTTTTTTTTTTTTATCGTTCAATGGGCCTGTTGCATGCAAGAGATACAGCCGTGCGAATAGACTTTTCAGAGGTTAAATGACACGAAAATTACGATGGTCACATTAAAAAAGTCTGAAATACACTCCTTACTGCGCATTTTGCGATGTGAGGAACGCGCTTTTTCAAATTTCCCGCGTCTGAGGGCAGTTTTCTAACGGAAACAATTAACGGCAACTCGCGGCTATTTCCGGTCAACTAAAACTGACGACATAACCTAAAAATCGGAGCTCGTGATATCGTGAAATGAAATGTAGAAGGATTGCGTTGGATATTTAAAAGTTGATCGATTTGGTTACCGCATAAAGCGTATATGGACCACTATAAGAGATCACGTTGGGTTTGTAAACAAACTGAAGGAAAAAATAACAACAACAACAACGACTCGGCATCTTCCGGAAATCACCGAGCCCGCCGTTTGCTCGTTTCCGGTGATTAGAAAACTGCCCCCAGACGCGGGAAATTTGAAAAAGCGCGTTCCTGACAACGCAAATTGCACAGTAAGGAGTGTATTTCAGACTTTTTTAATGTGACCATCGTAATTTTCGTGTCATTTAACCTCTAAAAAGTCTATTCGTGCGGCTGTATCTCTTGCATGCAACAGGCCCATTTAGACAAGAGAAAATTAAAATATCTCTTCTTAACATGTCTGGTGCCTCATCAGTAGAAATACCATTGAGTTAGACTTTCCCTGTCTGCATCCAGTCACATTCCATAAGGCAAATTTGCGCCAGTGCACCCCCTTCTCTGGTCATACGATTATTGTGAATTACAGTTCACAAGTTTAGAGGAAGTAACCAGACTTTAAAGACTACATCCTCTTTCAAATTTAGCTCTGTGAATGGCTTTTTAATCAAAATTTACTTAAAATATAATTCGCATCATGAATCACTTACGTTGAGTTTAGATTCCTGTAAATGTCTTCTTGAGACAATGTTCTTGGACGGTGAACAGAAAAGCCACTGAAAAACAGAGAGAATAAAAATGAAAAAAAATTTGTCTAATTGATGTCATAAGATTATATTTTGGTCAATGATAAGTTTCTTAGGTGGACCTACAGTTAAGGCAAACCCACAAAATCAATGAAGGTCAGGCTTCAATCATAGAATCATGAAATAAAGCTGAGTGGAAATCATAAAATGAAATTACAGATTTTTCTGCTCGGTACAGCTACATTTGGCACGACTTTTGCACCGATTGGTTGGGTTACCATATGACTCAGTTGATAATATTTTAGTATCTCCCTCTTTTTTCCGCATTCACTAAATTCAGCGCTAAAAAATTCTTTTAACTGGGATATTGGTACAACGGGTTGAAGAAGTGTTTTACAAAAATTTTTATCGGAGAAACAAAAATGCCAAATCAAACCTGAGCTGCTCCTTAAAAGTTGGTAGTTCAAAAAACAAAAAAATGGTCGCAAGACAAAATAACTTGAAATATATTGTAGTCTGGCAAATTCAAGGCTCAGAAAGGACTACTAGACAAGATAGTATTTTAATCAAGTGCTTTAATACATGTTTTCTCTTCAAAATTTTACGTAGAACAAGATTTACACAACAAAAAAAAATCAGCTCCTGACCAAAATATTATAGTTTTTACTCAACACTTGTCGTGGAAATTTTTTAATTTCCCATTCACAAGAAAAATCAGAATTTAAATGAATCAGTTCATGCCCTAGATACCTAGAACAGTTTTGGCTGGCTTTAATAGGCAATATTACTTTCCTGTCCTGTGTTCTCCAAAGTACAAACAACTTGCAACAGCTGGGTTAAAGTACCAATATTGAGTTTGTCATATTTTCATGCTGTAAAAACTGTCACTGTAACGTTTAGTGTGTGACTTAACTCAAGCAGATGATTGTTTTATTTATGAGTGGGAAGTTCGAGTTGATGCATCGAAAAATTCTAATATCTTAGTTAAGAGTTACTTCCAATAATTTTTGTTCGATGAATCATTCTCAAGGTGTATTTGTATAATAAAAAATACAAATGCTTAAATTTGCACCATGCCTAGTAGTCTTTTCTTCGGATGAAATGCAACTTCACGCACTATACTAGCGCAAAAATTGGGCTAAAGCAGCAGCTATGGACCACTAGACAAGGTACGAATTTCAGCATTCTGATACAGGTTTCTCACATTTCACATTCTTCAAATTTCACATAGAACACGATGCGCACAACAAAAACTACCGAAATTAACTCCTGACGAAGAAATTAAATGATTCTTGATGCGTGAATTCAAACCACCCACTCATGAAAACTCAATGCTATACGTGATTCACATCGCGCGCTAAACGTCATCATGACAGTCTCTGCGATAAAAAAATCTGGCAACCTCATCTTGACGCTTTGGCTCAGTTATAGCAAATTGCTTATAGTTTGAACAACACATGGTGGGAAATGAACGTTTGCTCGATTGAGAGGCTCGCTGAAACCGTTGTGGTGCGCGATTTGACTTACATAGAGCTTTGAGTTTCTTGTGAGCGGGCCTTTCAAATTCCTCATAACCAATGTGAAATAAAAACGATAATATCTTCCTTAGGAGTTGATTTCAGTAATTTTCGTTGCTCAAATCGTGTTTCACGTGTAATTCTAGTTCGGAAACATGTATTAGATTGCTTAAATTCGTACCTTGTCTAGTGGTCCATTGTTTTACGTAATAGTGGACGGTGTTTCCCACCAAAAATTCAATTTCAAATTTTTCAACCCAATGGGACAAAAATTACTCTCTTGAAAAATTTGCTTCCATCCACTCAAGTCTCTGTCTCTGTTCTTGGTTGGAAATAAATTAATCAGGAAACAAGTGAGAGCAGACCTCTTGATTTCTGTATTATGTGTTTTGTATTCACATTACTCTAAAAAAATTGATCTTAGGATCCAGAATATTTAAAACCCTTCTTTCTTCCACTTTAAAATACCCATTCAAGTAAAGGTACCGTTACAGCAGAGAAAAGCAGCTACCCTAAATACTTACGGAATATTCTTCTTCTGAAATTTAGGGCAGTTTGACAGTTTTGACAGTGTGTGAATGACTCTGTAGAAATCTGTGAAATCAAATAGCATCAACGGCTCAAACAAGTCTGACTCAGGGAGACCATAATAGTCATGACAAGCTTGCAGGAAGACTTTAATGTTCCGCAGACACAGGAACTAGAAATAGGCAGACAAATCAAAATCAGATAAATACTACCAAGTAGACATTAAAGCCTGCCTAGGCAGATAGTGATCTGCAAAAAAAAAGAAAGGAAAAAAAAAATTATTCTTCCAAAAGTTTAAAAATGAAATCTTAAGCTTTCACCCATCCTCATGGTGCACAGTGCTGCAGGTGGTGGCTCAGTGTATTGAATGTAGTTTACTTTTCACTCTCTTCCTATCTTCTTTACTTTCATTATATTTGTCAAACATATAAGAACTGTTTACTTACAAATGCAGGAAAAAAATCTAAGTATGGACAGGGACCAGTTCTGTAGGATCCTGGATTCCCGTAAGAGCCAACGTAAAAATTTGTGAGCAGGTACTAATGCTGCTATCTTGCGTAAGACCCTCGCAACCCACTAATATTATCAGTTGCTGGACTTCACAAAAATCCGTAGGATTACATATATCTGCCGAAATTCGGATTTTTCACCTCTAACTGGTGTGTGGCAGCCCAATTCTTGTCAGAAGGGCATCTGTCTAGTGGTTCATCGCATGCATGTCTCATTTATATCTGTCTTCATTTAGAGGATTACTTGCAAATTAAAGTTGGGTTGGAGTTTCCAAAAGTGAAGAATGTACCGAAGACAGTATTAATATATCTAAGCGCTCATTAGTCATTAGTTGAGCAATAGGACCTCCATCAGTTCAACTGTAACCTTTCACTGTTCACTTTTTGGACAATAGAGGGCTGATTATTGAAACTATGTCAGGGAGATGAGACAAGATACAGCCCTATTTTAGCCATGCAATATATTCCATTTTGATGTCTTATCGGGCTGCTATACTCTTACACAATCGGCTCTCTGGACAAAACAGTTCTGTAATAAGTGGAACTGATAACTCCTTTTTGGGCATATTAAGAGACAAAACAGTTGTCCATCAATGATACCGTTTATTTTAGCAATGATCAGTAAAAATACCATTCATTTAAAAAATTGGTCACTACAACACTGATAGAGCGGCAACTTATGGTTTTGCTATTTCTAGGCCAAGAAGGCATCGCTCTTTCTCGAAAGCAGAATCCAAGTAAAAAATCAAATGCAACTCACCTGTGCTAACTGAGGTTTTTGGTTGACATCCTTCATATCAATACATCCAGGGTCAAGCGAGCTGATCAGGTTGCACAATAAAACACCGTCCCGAAGTGTCAAAGCTAAATCAAAGATATCCGCCTCAGGCCACTTCGCCTTATGGTCAGGTCTTAGCACCCCGCACCTGGTTAGCCAGGAGGCACATTCTCTCCAGACTTCATTTGCCATTGTTAGGTAAAATAAGGTTACTTACTCCATTGTTCTAATGAGAAACATCAAGTTTGATGGTAAACATTTTGGCTGGGATGAAACACTGAAATCAATCTCAATCATTTGACACTTGCAAAACTCAAAAATAGGATCACTGTCATTCACTGATAGAGATTGGATGGCCAATGATACGTGAATATGAATACAATATTGAAATTATAAAAATTAATGTTAGAAACAAGAACGTAAATGTCACAAGTGCACTAGGACAAGGGCAGGCCAGCAGGCAAACAAATCCTCCTTTATCTTCTATCATCAACAGGATCAGCGATCAGGATTCTGAGGATGGACAGGATGGACCACAGCTCCATCAACCAAAGACTACAGCCATAAGCGTAACCACCTGACGTCATCGAGGGGGTCGAAGACTCGAAGGGTCTTTGCATAGCAATAAACATTGTAACCTCCTGCTGAAGTTTCCTCTCCCAAGAGAAATTTGAGTCCTGAACTCTTCGTCGCAAATCTGTAAGTAATTACTTTTTATTATATTTAAAGCTTTCATATTATGCTATCGTGTTGCAGCAGTTTGCTTTACGATCATTTACACCTTTTCCAAATGTTAATGCAAGGAGTAATATTTAACTAACCTCTCTGTGTTATCATGTACTTACTTCTCACTGGCTCTCATAAACTTTTGCTAAATCATGGGATTCTACATTATTACCTTCAAGTCTTTAGAATTGAGCCAATATAAACTAGTTTTGTACTCTTCCCTCATTTTATTTCAATGTGTTCTTCTCACGAACATTGGGATATGAACAAGCAATCATGATCCGTTTACATTAGCGTCTCAGTACTCTAAGAAGCACACTCCCTGAAGAGGGCTTTTGCACACCTAGTTATTTAATACAATATTGATCCTACTTGTCAGGTGCACTGTTCCGTGATTAGACCATGTTGCCTTATGCAGCCTGACCTATCAACCAGATGAAAACTCCAGATTATTCAGTGACTAAACTTAACCTATACGGAGTTGGAATTTGATAAGGAGTGGCCCCTAGGGTTTAATTATCAGCATTTCAAGAGGATTTAAAACTTTAGGGAGTAGTGTCTCAGCTGAGTGAACAGCTGATACTAGTGGCCGAATAGTTCTGATTAGAAGTTTTAGTCCAGCTCCACGTTCAAGGAGTTCAGGATTTGGTTCTTGGGTAAATAATGAAGGTCAAGTAGCCTCAAACAAGAGGCACCGGAGGTGGTGAATATTATAGTCTGAGAAGGAGTTGAATATCTAAGGATTGCTGAAAGTCTTGATATACTGTACATTACTGTACTGGGTCTGTAACATTTTTGGAGTGGTTCTTCCTCCCAGATGTTGGTGACAAATAGGGCATCCAGGTTCAACCCTTGTCAAATAGCAGCAAACTCGCTCTTTCTTTTTCCTTTTTTTTTTTTTTTTTTTTTTTTTTTGAACGGAACAGGATTTATTTAACAATTCAAAGCTTTTCTTATGGAAAGTTAAATTCTCTTGTCAGAAACTGATTTCATTACTCAAGCCAAGAGAATCTGTACAGCAGAAATTTTTGTTTAAAATATGTTTCTTCTATAGAAAGCTTGAGTGTAATTGGAGAAAACTAATAGAAATTGACTCTGTTTATGTAGTAACTGAAGTCCAGTGGACCACTTTACCATATAAGTAACACCATCAGGGGCAGAAAAGGCCTGAAAATTAAATATAAAGTAAACCTAATTACCAGCATGGGTTAATCTAATCCGATTTGTTTGAAACTTGGCAGAGGGTATTGTTTGATAAGATGGATCGATTTTAGGGGTTTAGACTAAAAAAAATCCTTCATTGCTGAATTTAGGCCTCCTTAGTGCTCCCCTGACCACATTATAATTTTAATCCACAAAATTTCATGCAGAATAGACACATAAAGTAAATTTAAAATAATTTACCAGCAAGAAAATAGTGGTTTATGAGTTTTTTTAATTCTATCTCCTAGCTTGCCAAATAGCAGTCTGCTTATGAATTAAACTGGATACTGGAAAATTTTTAGTATTTTTAATTTTTAAGTTTTGCAAGTTGGGTCTACCTATGGGAGAAGGGGAAAACTTTTTAATGCAAGGGCTGTAAATTTTCCCACTTGTTAAATCAGTCAGAGATGGGAATATGGTAACTTAGTGGCACTCTTCCATCATGACTCAAGTTTTTTGTATATTAATAAAATTCATTGATGGTAGAGTGCCAGTTCCGAGATCATTGCTTTGTCATCACCTTCTTTCTTGTATCTTTCAGCAAATATTAGTCTCTAGAAATGGCTGACGCAGAAACAATTCAAGGTGTGGGAGATTTGGAGATTCACGATGACGATGAAAATGATAACAAATACAAAGCTCCTCCGCAGAAAACGATAGATGAACTTATTAAAGCAGATGCTGAAGATGACAGCTTGCGCAAGTACAAAGAAACCCTCCTTGGCAGGGCCAAGGAAGAAACAATTGTCGTTGGTAAATCTATATTCTCTCACAGTATACTTCAGATTAGTATGTTAGTTTGTTAGTTGCATAAGCACATTTTGATTGTTGAAATCAACTCTGCAGAAAAACATTGTGAAATTTTTATTTGATCAGGATTCACTTTCATAGATTGAACGAATTTACCTTGTTATTCTTGATCGGGAATGCGTTCGAACTAAATAGTTTTTTTTTCTACACATACCTGAAGATGGCAATGCTGAAATGAGCATTGTATAGCGCCTATATAACAAAATAACAGGAAAAGCAAGGTAAATTCATTAAATCTATCTTCGGAAGAAGATATTAAAATCTACTCACAGTCCACAGGCTTATTAAAAGGAAAGTACAACAATTTGAAACTTATGTTGATTGACAAAATCTTCAACAGGTTATTTGTCCATGCTACCTTTATTTCATCAGTGACAAAACAACGTATGATCGAAGGGGTGAACAAGGCTGAAAAACCAAAACTCTTGTAACGTTTCTTGGGAGGTATCAACTCCTTTGCCAACCAGGAATAAAAAATGAACTGAAAATTAACATAGAATTAATGACCCGATCCCGGTCAGTAATAACAGATGACAACAGAGATAATAATTGACAAACGAGTTGATTTTATCCCAAAACATCTGAGGCTGTTTGTTCATGTATTCGTCCATTTTATTATGTTCTGTTACATCAACTTCCGAGTCGCCTCACGTTGCGGTATTCTTGGTAATAAATAAGCCCTACCTGATGTATAGCAAATTTGATTGAAAAGAATTGGAAGCCTATGCTTCCAGGTCTTCAGCTCTTGCATCCATTATGATCTAAACTTTTTGCAAGCTTTCTTTGAGTTTTCAAGACGATTTTAGAAAAGAGCTAGTGGCACCAGCAAGATTCTTGCTTAATCTTCTAGATTAGTAGGTGGTTAAATAGAAAATCCCTTCTGCGCCTTAATTTAGGAGTGTAGAAACTTCTTGATCACTTGACCGAAGGGTCAATTAGTTATGTAAGAAAAACAGAGGGGACCTTAAAAATGAAAAGACTGAGAAATTGGGTCTTGAAAACTGGAACGCAGGCTCAAGCCACCGTATAAATTGCAAGTTTTTTTAACCAGCAAAAATTTGCAAAAAATAGAAGGAAAAAGTCATCACTCTCGAAATTTTTGGGGTCAAAGGGGTCTTTTAAACTGGGATGGCCGATCAAGAAAATAAGAAGGCCAAAAATGTTCTGCATCCCTGCTCATTCACAAGTAGATGCTCTCTTACCAATTGGGTTTATTTATTTCAGTTTTGAATGTCAATAGGAGGGTAACTTACCTCTGGGTGATTCTTCCATTCTCAAAGGTCTAAGAAAATCACCTTCGTTCTCCCTTTTAGTAGGATAGGATTTTGATTGTTTTTAAGTGTTCCAGTAATATTTTCTTTATTTCAAACACAGATCCGAGTGATGACAGGAAAGTGATAGTTAAGTCTCTAGCTCTCATTGTGGCTGATCGGTCAGAAATGGTGCTTGACCTAACCTCAGATTTGAACGAACTGAAGAAACAGGTAATTTTTCTTAGTTTTTATCACTTTATCTGGTGTCAACATAAACCAGCAACTCTCTGCAAAAGGACAAAGCTGTTTCATTATGTCTATTGGTCAAATCAGCTGAGACCTCCGCATTTTGCCAAAGATTTCATGCTAAAAGAAAAGTTTGCAAGGGCTGAAAGAAATCTTATCTACGGTTTTCAGTCAGGAAGGATGCTAATCTTGGAATTTGAGAATCCCATATAAATCTCAAACCTCAACTAGGAGTGTTGTGTCCAGCTACTGAGGCACCAGCCATGCCCAGGCATGTTAATTACTCAATTAGCTGTGCACAGCCAAATTTAGGCAATTGAGCTCTTCGTCTTGCATTATCCCAAAAATTGCATATCGGATCACTCTCTGTGTACAAAATCTTTCATTCAGCGTGACACGCTTGGTAGTAATGTAGATGAAATTGAGTGTACGTAGAAGATTGTTTATACAGTTTTTCCTTTAAATAATGCATAGGTTATTTTTCTTGGGTGGAAACATTTTCAGGGGATCCTTCATAAAACTTAGTTTTATCCACTCAAGTTTTTTATTTGTTACTCAGTCATAAATTGAAGCATTTATCTTGCAATTTGGAATTTCTCTTTACTCTTTTTGTGCCTTTTTCTATCATTGTTGTTTATATATTTTAAGACATGGATTCGATAGGAATTCAAGAGCAAGTAAAATCATTCTCAAGTGAAATTTTGCTTTTTACAAGAAGTCGACACAGTGCGAGGGCTGGGTTTTGCCAATATTCTCACCGCATCCAAAACTGACATAATTAACAAGAAGAAATTGATATCCATAATTAACATTTTTGAAGTAAATAAATACAACAATAGGGAAAATGTTCTTGTGGTTATTTCAGCCGTAATTAAATTGTATCCATTGTCAAAAGAAAGTGGACTTCTATCTATATTCTCATTCCCTCTTTTGCTCTTAGGTGTTTGTGATCAAAGAAGGTGTCTCATATCGTATTCGGATAGATTTCATTGTTCAGCGTGAGATTGTTCATGGGTTAAAATATGTACAGAAAACATACAGGCTTGGCGTTCCAGGTATGTACAAATTGCAGATTTTCCTTGGCTTAAATTGTCTCTCTTCGAAATTGGAAGCAAATTCACACAAGTAGGAGATACTAATATCAACTAGTTGCACCTTCTTTTTTGGAGTCAGAAGTAATCTCTATCATCTAGGAAGAAATTAGAAAAATTGATAGCAACTCCACCTTCCTTATTATTATTCTCCTCATCTTGGGATGTATGTTTTCTCTGGTGAGTAAGCAAGAGCTCTCGTAAAATTAGTTCAAAGCCAGAGGATTTTCACTAAGCACCAATTCAAAATTCCAAAGTATAATTTAACTATGCTCAGCGCAAGCCCCTGCTTCACGAACATTTTTGTTATTTTGATGACTAACCTAGGTTAATCTCTACCTGCAGCACATCAATTTTTGTAGAATTTAATCAGTATGTAAGCTTTGATGTTTTTCAGCCCAATAGTTTCTTTTTTCGTATTTCTAAGCACCAGGTCTTTTGAAAGCAGTTGTCTTCTTTGTCCTGTGTAGCTCGCAGTACAATTTACAAAGGGGATTTTGGATACAACATCTAATCCTCGGAGAACTGGATTCTTAGCTGTCACCCTAAATGTGAAGAGCTCAAGGGTATTGTTCCTGACATGAACTATTCGGTAAACGAAATGTTTAAAAAAAGCTGGAATATTTTCGGACAAGAAAGAAAATTATGGCAGGCATGTAGATTTTTTCGGGCTGAAATTTTTTGGGATTTTTTTGAATGTCCGAAATGAACATTAACACCAGTAGTGTAACTAATACATTGTGGATCCACCTGCAAATGACTGTTTGGGGTCCTCCTCCTTCTGATTCCCTCACCTTGGTCGCTTAATATTGGTACATCAAAATTTCCAAGCTATGGAAAGAGACTTGAATATTTTGTGTGATTTTTTTTTTACTCTTTAAACTTAAATGAGGTGAACATTTAAAAAATGTTAGTAAGTGGCTGAGTCTTTAAGGTGTGGGACTGTGGGCACTCAAGAACTGATTGCCCTTTGCTATGCTGCAGCTTAGTGCTGTTAAAAATATTTCGGGACTATCGCAACAAATCTCACAGGTAGCAACCTATGATCAGCGATTACTTCGCCACTTCTGCGTGTAATATCATTTCATTCTGACTTAGTTCGATGTATTTTTGTTAATAATTGTGCTTGAGCCCTTGTAAATAATAATTCCCAGAGATCCTAGGTGATCATATTAACTTCGGTACTATTCCATGAAAATTCAGGCATACATTTGATTATGAAGGCTTAAACTCTACAGGCAACTAATTTGATAGGGTCCTAAGATATTTGTGTACATAGTATTGACATTTCCCTGTGGAAGACCCATTATCCCTTCAAATTGTTACAAAACTTAGCTTGCTGGTATAAGGTATGCATGGACTGATGGATCTTATCCTTTTTCTACACCCGCTAATTTTGTTTTGACAACTTTCGTGGATTTCAAACTTGTAAGGCTTCTTTACATTGCAACAAGTGTTAAAGCTTGTAATATCGTAGCCCACCCTTGTTCTGCCACTGCAGGAGCACTCAGAGATTTGTGTGTGAATGCGGAGGCTTTTCAGATCGAAACAGGGATTCTTGACCCTCCGAATGTTTAAGCTCTTTTCCAAATATCCACTTTCAGGGAAGATCTTCATATCCTGGAGAATTTTTGGTGTTGCCCAGAGTTTCAATCCGTGCTAGGTGGTTTTAATGTTATTTTTATGAGTAGTCCCTCAATAGAACCATACAATTTTTCATTACACATACTGTAAAGTACAGTATTACAAGTATCTGTCCTTGCATTAAGCTTGTTCAAAAATTGCTTGAGGGGAAATAAACTAACTGGCAGATTAGAGGATCTATACCTCGAATCCTTTCAACTCCAACCCTTGATTTAAAAAATCCCAGCAGGACCACCATTGTAAATATGTAGATAACAAATGGAATTGAGTGTCTCATGTGATTGACGCATAAGCATCATAGATATTAAAGTTAACTTCCATGAGAAGAAAGTAGTTGCGATGGCGCTTAACCTTTTTTTTCAGCATCCATTCATTTTCATTTTTGGTATGGATACAGTTTGTGAATCCTGCAATCCTGTACCTAGTGTCTTTTTTTCCAATTAGGTGGATTTACCTATTTTCTTTTTTAACCAACGAAAAGGAAAAAAAGATGAAATGCCACACAAGAATTTTGCCCTATAATTGAAATGTGCTGCTGGTTTAAGTATTTTTATTGGTTGTTTGTCTCCTCGGTTTCCTTTGAATTTTTCTTGTTCTGTATATGTCATGTTACAGGTAAGAATTACTGCAGGGCATGTATCAATTTTTTAGTTGCATCTTAGTTTTTCAATATATTTCAAGGCATATTTGTGAAGACAAGAGCTCATTACTCAAATTACAATTCTTGTAAACATTTCCTGCACTGGTTTTGCTGCAGAAAATGTTGTTATGACAAAGGAATAAAATACATAATGAATGAATTATTGTAAATATTGTACATAGTGTAATTGTATTTTTTTATATTGTAAATCTTTACTTGATAATTCAGAGATGAAGGCTTTGTGAAAAGTATTTTTGAATCGTAAAACATCTTTTCAGTTCAAATTTAAGTGCAAACCCCTTGATCATAACAGTTAGATGGTCTCTCTTAACAACAAACTTGGCACATTTTCACTTGAGCCTTACTCTGCACAAGAATTATGTCGTCCTGCAAGCTGAGACAAGAACATATGTAGTTTGTTTCTTTGTGCGAAACTGTGCCCATTTATCGAGGATCCAGAAGCATGATATTTATTTATAAACCTAAGAATCAATATTTTTCAAAATTAATTCTGTGATACTCTTTGAGGTTTGATTTTTTTTTTTTTTTTTTTTTTTTTTTTTTTTTAAGTTTATAGTTAAGTAAAAATTGATCAAAAGAATGGAAATTGGCATTCAGAATTACATTTCATGTTAATCACTATGCCCTTAAAGGCTTCTAACCAGGGCTTGTCAGAGATATGAATTCTCTCTTTGAGTGTGAGTTTTTAATTCAAACCAATATTTTGAAAGGCAAATATTTATTTGAAACAAGCCATATTATACCCTGCATTGCATGAGCCAAATCAGGACCCCTAACCCCCCGCTGAATTTTCATCTCAATTTTAGGGTTCTATTGCTGCATTTATTCCGTTTTGGTAATTGTTACATCCTCTTTGCATGCGCTAATTAGTTTCTCGAGAACTTAGTGGGAACATACTTTTTATAACTTTTACCCAAAGTGAGGGAAAAAATTTAGCATCCAACGATCTGAAAAAAAGTGTGTACGGTTTTTTTTTCAGTGGACAAGATGACACACATGGTTGGATCTTACCCACCAAAAAGTGAGGTGCAGAGCTACACAACACCAGCCGAGGATGCCCCAGCAGGTTTGATGGCTCGTGGTAGCTACGCTGTTCAATCTGTGTTCACGGACGATGACAAGAACATTCATCTCAAATGGGAATGGGCCTTTGACATCAAGAAGGATTGGAAAGATTGAGTCGAACATGACAAAAACTAAAAGGATGGATTGTCTCTGGAATGTCGCTCATCCAAATCGTATTCATCGGATGTATTAAACTTGTGTCACCATTTTTCTACTTTTTAGTTGCTAAGAAATTTTCAATACTTCTAGGTGTAAGTATTTATTGGGTGAACAGTTGAAAGACGAAATCAAGAAAAGTATCAAAGTGACATCAAAGTAACATACTACAGGGAAGAAATGCTCGTGGATTCAATGTCAGCGATCATGAGATTCGCTCTTCTTCCAACAATCTTTAATACTGTATTTTTCTACTTTGTTTTTTATAGTTGTAATTTGTAAGATGTGATTTTTATGAAATTGATGCGAAAAGCATCCTGCTTATAGCTTAATGCCAAATCATTAATATTTTTAAAGTGTTAGTTTTCTTTACTAAAAAATGAACAAAATCTAAGAAATTGTATTTTAATTTTTTATGAAAAATTTGAAATGTTCTGCTGAGCAATACTACCATAACAACTGTTTTTTTCTGTGATTGCATACAACTGGAAAAACCTCTCAAATTTGAAGTACTATAGATCAATACTCAAATTGCAATTTTCTACAAAAAAAAGTTGTAAGTTGTAGAAATAGTAAATTTTTATAAAGAAAATCATAAATACAAATTTTATTACATTTAAAGAGTGTGAAAATTTTTTAATTAATTACTTTACAACAATAATCTTTTAAATGTGAGTGACTGAAGTCAAAAGATCTTTAACTCAGATTGCAATTCTGCAAATTGCTGCTATGGTTTTAATTCTTCAATAAAGAACCATCCATTACTGTTCTAGAACCCCCCTCCCCCCACAAAATGAAGCATAAATGAAGACTTTTACTCATTGCAATGGAGATACCTATGCATTTTTTTTTATATTAGTCAGCGATACTCACCCATTATTTTACTGTTGTAAAATAGCAATAAAATTATTTCTCAAGGAAAAGGGCAGATCGACGGTAAAAGTACCAGACCATGTATCTCGATTTGTGATGGTGTGGATTTCCTGTCTTACTTTATATTTAAAATGAAAAAAAAAAAAATCAAAGTTAATTCTTGCAAACTTCTCTGTTTTTTCTTCTCTGTGCGAAGAAAACTCTGAAAATTCCAAGAAATTATTGATTAGTTCTTCAAAAAAATAAAATAGGAGCTGAGCTTTTTAAACGCCGCAAACGAACTACTTACAAGGTCTGGTAGTTTCTCTGTCGATATACACTACAGTTGTATTTTTACAAGAGGTCTCATCTGTTTGCAAATTCATTTTATTCCCATCATCACAACCCTAGCGGAAAATGGGAACTAAATATCCTGAAAGAGTTGCCATTCACACATCCCCTCCGAGTTTGCGAAATGTCATCAAGGAAATCAATCAAAACTTTTTCATGTAATTTCTCCCAATTTTTCCCTCTTCTCACAAGTATATCTGTAAGAAGTTCTAGTTTTTCCCAAGTAAATTAAGTAAAGCAGGAGAGTTTATTCTGGGACACCGCAATCTGGGAATACGTGCAGTAGGTATACATAATTATGTTTAAGTATCATCAGCCAAATGCGTAATCTATACACTAGAGTCCCTTTATACGCAATAAATGCCTTGCTAAGTGAAACGCCGTACTTAGGTATATGAGCATTCAAATGTTGCCAAGTTCTCCCGATGAAACAATTATTTTTCAGAAAAGTTATGCATACATTTCTTACTCGAAATTTTCAGATACCTACTTCAGATGAAATTGCGAATAAAATTTTAAGCAAAATTTGATGGACATTATTCACTATTGCCCCGCGAAATTCGTTGTTCAATCAAAGAAATTTGGTATCGCCTGAAGGCTCATCCGCTGTTTTTCCCAAGGAGTGAGGGCGGCAGTGTAATAACGTGATATCGGCGCAAACCAAGACGGCGTCAATCAGTGCCGAAGAAAATCATATTTTCTGGACTTTCAGCTTGAAAATATCCTTCTCTTCGATTACAGAGGAGTCACACGTTTACTTTCGTTTATTGTTTCAAGGATGTCGCTCTAAGTTTGATCGTTCGGGTGGCGGCCAGCGGCCCGGCCATGCTCACACCTTTGTCGCGCGTTCATTTGACTGTTTGGACTGGTTTGGCTGGTTCGCTCAAGGTTTGCCGAAAGCTACGGCGATTGGTTCAGCCGTTCGGCGAGCAACATCGGCTCGTGACAAAGTTCGCCAAACCAAGTAACGTCCGGTATTTATTATGAGCTTTGCAATGCTCGGTATGTTCGGCGCTTACCTTTCGCTATGACACTGGTTGTACCGTCTGAACGCCCCTTTAGTGCTTTAGTTCAACTGAGTTAGGTACCTACCTTGCGCCATAACGTCATTCCAAAAGACTTCCAAGGCCTTTTTAGTCATCATACTCGTGGAGCAATGAATGAAGCTCACGACAGTCACGACCGTGTTGGTGGTGATTCACTCGCTTCATCAATTATTTTCCTCGCTGATCCTGCTTCCGGCATAAGCTTGATCCGTTAGAAATTTCGTTCGTCTTTGTGTACGCTGTTGTGTTTTCCCCTCATTACTTTAGTGTTGCATCGTCAGTGTTCAAAATTCCAACGGTTTAACCTGGATACACTACAACTGCCCAGTTTGTCTTTGTTTAACATCACTGTAATTACTACCTTAATTATGTCCCTTCTTTAATTTCCGTTCGTTCGCCCGCTCTTTGCTCTCTGTCATCAATGGTGTTTCATCATGTATTTCATCTTTTCTTTTCGAATCTCGAGAATACTCAATCCCTGTTTTGAAGAATGCCTTACTATGATAAATGGTGATCCTAACCTACTGTTTTGTGTAAAATGAAAGTGACAGTGATATTTGGGACGATCCGTGTGGTCGTACCTTGCGGAAATGGTGATTTGCTTGTTAAGGATCTCATACGACTCGCCATCACCAGATACAAAAAAGCGACGGGCAAGGTAAATTTTTATTTTCTTTCCAGTAAGTTAGTACACTAGCGTCCGGTCAGCGGTTGTGATCTGTTCCACTTATCTCATAACTGAGCTTTTAGACTGACTGTTTAGTCGATGATAGGTACTGAAAATCGAAGATCCTGGCAATGAGAAACAGCTGCGATAGACTCGCTCCTCAAAAACCTATTCTCGCCCAACAATAACAAAGATGCAGGCAGTCACGCAGACTGAAAGTGGCATCCTGCGCCTATCCTGATGTTTGTATTTGCATCTAGCATTTTATCCATGACTGAGATAAAGTGTATTTTGTATCTAACTGATTTGAGGTAACCGTGCTCTCTATTGGTGTGTTATGATTTTTCCTTGGGAATCGACGATTCTAGGTATCTGTGAAAATCTATTAGCCGCCATTTTGAAGGCAGGTGCTGTAAATCGGTAGAAAATTCTGGAACATTTGTCAATCAGTTCATAGGAGTAAATGATGGATTAGATATGATTGTTTTCAAAGGTACAGAGTATTATTTTGTCTATCAGATGCCTTGATATATTAAAGTGAGGTTAGGTTAGGATGCTTCCGCTATGAATGATGCCACCTTCATAAATCAACCTCAAATATCAATGAAATTTATTGTCTACGCATAGTTAGGTCAGAATCCTAAGCTGTTAATCATTTAGTCTTCCAGTTTGGCTTTCATCAGAGATTTAGAGTTAGCATAATTTGTCTTCGTTCGATGGAAATCGCCACTGCGTTTATAAGTAACTCAATAACCTTTCATCTGAAATCAACTATTCAGGTAATTATCTCAATCAGACCTCTGTATTCAACATTAACATCACTCAAAGATAATATTTGGAGCATCTTAATTCTGAAAATGTCACAAGGAACTCAGAATGAGACTCTTTCAAGCCCAATTCAAAGTACTTAACAAACTTTTCATTCAACTCTCGAATGCAACTTGTTTAGTAAAAAGTTGTATAGTGTGATACTGCCGCGTGAAAATGACAATTTGATGACAAATTAATGGTAATTTGAATTTGACGTCACATTCAACTTTACGTTGAACTTTCAATCCAATCGCCGCCGCCAATTGGATGGATAGTTGAACGGAGGAATCAAATTTTTTTGGATTCAACTTTCCATCCAACTTTTTGTTTTAATGATGTCGAATGAAAATGTTGATGGTGTGAATGGGGCTTAATTCCTTTTACAATCCAATGAGAGGCTGACAACGCTGTTACTAAGGCGTGTGCAAAATTAAAAAGTTGACACTTGGTGGAGCCAAAAGTCAATGTGGACACATGCATTCTCTAGGATTACCCCATGATCTTCGGATGGTTTCCTTCAGCGCCTGTGCATCAAAGAGCTCTTGGAAGTTTTGTGATGAGACTGAGAGTTCACTTAACAATGTTTCCCGCTTTGGTTGTGTTTTTTGTGCCTCTCTCCGAGACCATTTGCCATTTGTCTCTTAGATAGGTCAGCTTCTCTTTGAGAGGGATATTAGTAGATCCATACGTGGCAATTTCTTGCCAGTTAAGGATTTAAGCTGCGTTTAAAACTTTTTCTACTAGTTTATCGAGCTTTTAGGTATGTACCAGGGGTCGATAATATGCCCAGTCACGCAAGGCAAGCTTGTGCAATAATTGAGGAGAGTACTTGCATTCTTGGGGGGGGGGGGCGACGTTTGGTAAGAAAAGCATTGATTATTTAAGCCCTTCTTACTAGGTACCATTTAAAAACTTTCCCCAATGAACCACAAAACCTCACTACTACCAAAAAAAATGGTATGTACTTCCCTATTTGGAACTTCTCTGCTGGATTTTGGAGGCATATCTCACAGCTAATTTTAATAACGCATGGACCACATTTTTTGTGCTGTCTTTTGTATCATTTGGACCAAGCTACTCAATGAAACCAGGGAATCAGTGTTATAATTGTTTAAGGCTGCGGGCATCAAGTTTCTGAGGGGAGGGGGGGTGGGCACTACGCGATATTATTCTTAACTCTCTTCCTGAATAGAAACGTTTCAAAACTTCGGACTATATTTAATTTCTTGTTTTCGTTTAAATGAATAAAAAAAAAAAAGGGACCAACAGATTACTTCGAAATTTTCTGTGAATAAGGGTGGCAAGGAAGGAATGAAGGGAAAGGTGGAATAAAAGGAATAGGGTTTGAAATGATTTACTTCGGAAAATTTGCAGAAAATCGTACCTACGTAAAGCTGTGTGTAGTTTTTTTTTTTTTTTTTTATCAAATCGATCAAGAATAAAACAAACGTGGATATGTCTGACGTTGCAATTGGAGATGGATACGCTTTTATTTGCGTGCAGCGTGCAGGTATTGATTCTTGACTTATTTCACGGAAGGTGTAACGAGAAAACTATTCGACCACAGGTGTAAGCATATTGCCGCTAGCTAGATCGAAGGCGCGTCACACTGCGAAGATGACTCGATCGCGCTACCGATCCTCGATGGCGCGACGCCTAAATCGCCGCGAACCTTGGACAACGCGTCATTATTCTCGCTTGACTCTCTGCTCGGTTTTACCATAATTTAAGGAAACATAATTAGCTTAATAGTAGCGATTCAGAAACTCGGACCGTGTAAAATTTTTTAGGTGTACTTAAGAAAAAAAGAAAGCCGAATGAACAAAAACGCCAAGTTAAAAATGTCTGTGATTTCATTTGAAATAATTTCGGAAAATTCCGGGAAGCTTTCCAGAAAAACGCGTGTAGCTTTTTAAAAAATAATGATTAAAAATGAAGCATAATTTAAGGTGTGCAACGTTGCAATCGAAGATAAATACGCCTTTTTTCGCAAGCAGCCATCGATATTTGAATTCATTAACGGCGACTCATAAACTCGGAGCGTGAAGGATGGAAAGTGGAATGAACGAAAATCGAAAGTCAAAATTTACATTTCCAGGTCCGGATTAAGGGGGTGGCCACGTGGGCGGCGGCCCATAGCGGCAAATGTAGGGGGCGGCAAATTTTGCAATTTTTTTTCAAATGTAGGTATAAAAATACAATTGCAAACGGGAAAAGGCGACAAAATCTTGCATTTCCTGTGAGTATCGTTATTTCTAATTTTGTCGTTTTGCGGCGATACAAAAGACAGCACCTTGAATTAGTCGAGCTATGAGAGAAACCAAACACGCAATTTGGCCAGAACGCTCATTTATGAACATTCTTAGCCGTTTTGGTCTGACACTGGAATCTGAATTTTGTTAGTGACATTTTTGTGTCAGAAGGTTGGCTGCCCTTTCATTGGTCTAGTTGAGAGAGAAACCAAACACGCAATTTGAAGCGAATTTTCGCGTCTATCCGATCGATTCGTCTTGAATCCTGTTGAATCCGATGTGACTGATGTCATCAGTGCGATGGTGCAACACCCGTCGGAGATCCGTCGCCGTGAAAAGACGGAGCATTCGATCCAACGGAAAAGAGCGGGAAATAAATGTAAACCAGATGTTAACATTTGGCCTGGAGCGGCGCGGCGCAGAGAGCAATGATGACGAGGACTTGAGATGAAAAGGAGAAGTCCTAGGCGCGGCGATCGGCATGTAACACATACTAGCGCCTACAAGACTGCATGAATACTTCACGCATAGCGTCAAACACAGTGCGGTCAGCAACGGTCGCCGTGTAACGCATAGCGCCTACAAGACTGCATGAATACTTCACGCATTGCGTCAAGCACAGTGCGTTCAGCAGCGGTCGGCGTGAAAAGCATAGCGCCTACAAGAGTGTAGGAATACTTCACGCATTGCGTCAAACAAAGTGCGATCAGCACGGCGCGGCGGCGGAAGTTAAAATCATTAATCCACATTTATGTTTGTTCTTTCATAAGTTGTTCGTTCATTTCTTATGAACGGAAGGCCTTGTCCACACAGAGATAGGTTTACGAAACTTAACTTTCGCACAAAGTTCCGTGAATTTTTGCTAGTAGTGTTGACAGGGCTTCCGCAAAAAAATGTATCCAACACGAGTAAACGCGTCTTATGCATCCCTCTCCCTCGGGCACGTTCACTTGACAGTTTTTATTGATATTTAAAACGAATGAGATGGGGGCGGCAAGTAGGTGAATCCAGCCCTGCTCTCGTGGGTTGCCTGTAGTTACTTAGTCAGTCTATTACCTACGTCCTTTGTCCATTGAAACCACCTGCCTCCACCAATAGGATCCCTTCATATCCTTTTTGTCTTCTTTGTCTGTTGCTTCGTCCATCAATTTCAACAGTCAGCCCGCTTGTAATTTGCTTCAGGCCGGCAGTGCGACATTAAGGTGATTCGATGGACGCCATTTTTTGTGTCAGAACGGCATGCGATATATCGCATCAATTGGTTCCATATTTTCAGCTACTCGTCATTTTTCTCCTATTTTGAGATCGCAATTTTGTTGTCAGGAGTCTAAAGCACTCACTTACCAATTTTAACAAAGAAATTCAACGTAATAAAGGAGTGGTTTTTTCAGAGAGAAAATATCGCATTCGAGTGCAGTTTCGATATCAGTATCGAATGCGATGTTTTCTCTCTGAAAAAAACCACGCCTTTATTACGTTGAATTTCTGTGTTAAAATTGGTAAGTGAGTGCTTTAGACTCCTGACAACAGAATTGCGATCTCAAAATTGGAGAAAAATGACGAGTAGCTGAAAATATGGAACCAATTGATGCGATATATCGCATGCCGTTCTGACACAAAATATGGCGTCCATCGAATCACCTTAATCTCCAGGGGGCCAGAGAGCGTACTCTCTAATTTTGCAGGGTGTCTACAAGTCCGGAAAGCCCGGAAATAGCACTGATTTTTTAAGAGCGGTCCGGAAGTACCAAAAGGGCCGGAAATTCCGCAAGAAGGTCCGGATCTTTTTTCATTTTTTGTTCTTTTTATCGAATATGAGCGAGAAATTAAAATTTTTGAAATTTTTCGAATTTCGTCTATTGGAGGTACCTACTGAAAAAGTACTGAATTTCTGGGGAATGTACTGAAAAAGTACTGATTTTTGGCCAGTCCGATTTAGCAAGAGTCTTGTTTAGTGTAAGTCTTGGTTAAAATTAAACGTAGAAACTTTACGTTTGAACTTATCCATTTTATGGGGCTAATATTCTAGCTGAAACATGGTTCCGTGACAAGCGCAACTGACCCATCGGGTTGTCTCCGGTCACAATTCGGCAACGTCCGGATGCTGTTACGGCGTTTTCCCTCGGTACCGTGCTAATCGCTGGCGGTGCTGGCGCATTTTCTGCACGGGAAATCGTGGCGTTTCTGCGCTTTTCCCGACGGGGACGGTCAGCTGCAGCGAGGCAGTCAGCTGATCGCCCTCCACCCCGCCCGCCGCGCTCCGGCGGAGCCGTGAGAGGCGGGCGGCCTTCGGAGCGCCACGCAACGCATCGCGCAAGGAGTGCCAGTCCCAGTCGTGGCTGTCAGTGAGCATTATCCGGTCGCGCGCTCGTGACCTGCCTCTTCGTTTGGCTAATCGCGGACGCCCTTTCGGAATCCGTCACTCGCGTCCGTCGACGAGTGTCTCCTTTTCGCGCCTTAACGTCGACGTCGTCGTCTTAGTGCGTGAGTGTCAGTGTGTCTTTGTGTGTGTGCGAGTGCGCGTGTGGTCGTTCGTCACCGCCGCACGGAATTCTGCGTCGGCCGGCTTCGGATCCCTCTGCGTGAGTTCAGGATACAGAAGGCCCTGCGACGTTTTTCTGTCAGGGTCGCCGAGCTGAAGACGAGGGAGAGAAATGGATATGGAAACGTAGAGACAGGGTGTCTGCAGTTAGCGGAAAGTCGGGGTGGAGATGAGCCGTGGAATAACCGGGAAAGCACTGGGAGTACGGGCGAAAAACCTCGAAAACACAGGGATAGGTCAGGGAAACTCTTGGAAAACTGGAAAAAGTCAGGGGACGTGGTTGCCACAGTCAGGGAACACTGGGAAATGTCAGGGGATTTTAGAAAGTCAGGGAAAATAACGAAAATGTCTGGGGAAAATTGTCAAGTCACCTTTATTTCCTTTCTATAATGGGTTTGACGTTATGAAAACAAATTTTGTCTGAAAAGTATTTCAAATAATGTCTTTTTAGCATCTGGCATATCCTCAAGTGAAAGGGATTTTCAAAAAGTCAGGGAAAACCTGGAAATGCCAGGGAAAAATTGTCAAGTCACCTTTATTTCCTTTCTAAAATAGGTTTGATGTTATGATCAACAAATTTTGTCTGAAAACTGTGACAGGAAATTTTACCAAAATGTGACAGAGATCAGGGAAATGTCAGAGAATTTCATTTTCTAAATTCTGTGGCAACCCTGTAAAGGCCCTGCGACGTTTTTCTGTCAGGGTCACGGAGCTGGGATGAGGGAGAGATATTTTAGAAACGTAGAGTCAGGGTGTCGGCAGTTAGCGAAAACTCGGGGTGTTTTTCAATTTAGTTCACGATTCTGCCGTGTAAACGAATGCATCAGAGGCAACTGAATATTCAGATTAGAGTTGTCTTCAATATTCCACAAACCTTTAATGAATTGAATAATTCCTCTAAAACAACAAATTAAGCCCCGACTGCAGAACACGAGGTTTTCCGGGGAGCAGTAAGTGCGCAAAATGGAGAATCGGAGGGTTGGGCTGCGAAGCGGTCCGGAGGCGTAGGCATAGCCCCCTAGTCTTCAGTAATCATCGGAAACACTGTCATTGACCATTTAAAAGGGTCAAGAATCATAGAATTTTACCGTTGACAGTATAAAATGATTATTATTTATTTCGTGTTCGGCAAGGCAGGTGTGTGTACAGTCCACTGATTACTTGCTTGGTAACGTTTTCAACGAATAAAGAATTAATTGGACTACACTTTGCAATTGGGAACGACAATTTCTGGCTCATCCGTAAAAACACTTATAATCATAGGGGAACTAATGGTACATACGTTGTTCCTAAACTGAGCCGGAAATGGAAGTTTCTAATAGCAAAACGCAGTCTATTTTCTAGATTGCACGTCGTCAAAAATGGGTATCATTTTGTTCATTGCATAGGAATGTAGATGTACTGCTGTTTTTTCGGAGAATACGCCCATGGAGAGTTTGCAGGTGTTCGAAAGTAGATGAATTTCGTATCATAATAAAAACCATGAAGTAGAAAGAGCACGAGGATATGCCTGGTATCTGAATTGAACAACTAATCGAGGAGATAAGACCAAATGACCGACTGTACTGAATTACACGTGTCACAAGGGGGTGGTTTTCTATTTCTTTGCGTATACCTTTTGGATAAAATTCATGAAATTTTTCACGAGCTCAGCACATTGAGCACACTCAAATGAAACAATACAATTTTTTCGTGGAAATTCTCCATTTTTGCGCACGTACTACGGGGCTTAATTTGTTGTTTTAGAGGAACTATTCAATTCATTTTACGTTTGTGGAATATTGAAGACAACTCTTTTCTGAATATTCGGTTGCCACTGATGCATTCGTTTACACGGCAGAACCGTGAATTAAATAAACTCATTTGTCAGGTGATTTTCATCTTTGTGCGGAGGTGAAATATTTCCGTGAATAGTTATGATAATCGCGTAAACCTCAACACGCGACCAACTTGGAAGACTGTTTCGAAGCGGTGCAAGTAGGTAGGTAGGTCCGAATAGCTGAAAGTCGCGAACCGTGAATCATCAGCTATGGATATTTTCCGATTCGAAGCAATGGTAAAGAATCGATTATTAAGGTTTTATGATCACCTCGATAATCGATCCTTTTACGTAGGTTTAAATGCGAGATTAATCGATCCATCGCGATTGTCGTCTCAATTATCACAATTTAGTCGCACCTTCGGAGATGAGGACGATTTCGCATCGAAGAAGCCTCGGTCGCGAGCGAGCGTCGCGCAGGGTGTGATCGGTAACCTTTAAAGGTTAACTTTAAAAATTAAATAACTTTACTGTAGACTGGTGAAAAAGCCACGGAAGAAAGACAGTATAACCCTTAGATTATTTTGAAGCCGACCGCCGAGACAATAATTCGTATATCGGAGCTGTGACGTCGAAAATACATCCATTTCGATCGAGACCTTCCCAACTGTCCGCTCCCTCCTATTTTATTCCAGAAAAATCCATGCAGGGTTCGTAGATCCGCGTGTTGCCTTAATTTTGAACGAAGGGTATATCAGGAACAATCTGGAGAATGCTAAATAGGTATATTTATCCAAGGAAAATCCAGGGTTCGTAGATCCGCGTGTTGCCTTAATTTCGAACGAAGGGTACATCGGGAACAATCTGGAGAATGCTAAATAGGTATTTTTATTCAAGGAAAATCCAGGGTTCGTAGATCCGCGTGTTGCCTTAATTTTGAACGAAGGGTATATCGGGAACAATCTGGAGAATGCTAAATAGGTATATTTATTCAAGGAAAATCCAGGGCTCGTAGATCCGCGTGTTGCCTTAAATTTGAACGAAGGGTTTATCGGGAAAAACCTGGAGGATGCTGAATAGGCATATTTTCTCCCGAAGTTGTAGACTATTTGTTTTTCGCTCCCAAGAGAAAACTTCGGAAATTGTTAACATGAGGGAAAACCTAGGAAACTGCCATTGAATCCGCGGAAAAGCTGATCATGAAATTTTTTTCGTTGAACCAAAATGTTTTTACTTGGTCTTTACCCTGGTCTAGAACCAGGGAATTGTTTTGGAAAATCGGGGAAAAAGTTGTAATAAAATTTTTGTCTAATAATCTATGGATTTTTTACTTTTCAATGCCAAAAAGCAAAGGAGCATGGAATTTGTCCTTTGCTAATTGTTGATAAGTAGAAAATTTTATGAATTTTGAGATGGGGAATCATAGAATATTGTAATAAGTTTTCTTACTTTTTGATTTCAAAAAGAGGAGCGCGGAATTTTCCCAAAAAATTGCTGGTGCAACGTAAAAACGCCGTAAACACAATTTTTCATTTTTTGGAAACAATGTATCATAGCAGAAAAACTTATGTACCTCGGGACAATGTTCTTCCAGAATTCTCTCGCAAATACTATCAAGAACTCAACCCGAAAATTTGAGGAGCATGGGTAAAACAGTTTTTATTTTATAACATGTTAAGACCAGAAAACAAGGGGAAATCTCGATGGATTTACGGCGTTCTTGCTTAGCGCGGCTGACGTGGTTCCGAGGATTCCCCGTGAGAATTTTTCTGGCGGATTTGTTTTTCTATTTTCTGATGGCGGTAAGCCGGCGACACTTCGCGTAGGTCGCGAATACCCGACAACAAACGCTCTCGGCCCGTGTTGGAGATAGCGTGCGTAGATAGCAGGCACTTGAGCGAGACGCCATCGAGTTTAATAGGTCCGCTCCCTTCGCGCTTCGGAGCGAACGGATAACTTATCGGCCAATTCACTATCACCCGATTGTATTGAGTCAGTATTTTGCCCATTCAGTCGCAAGACGATTAGGTGGATTCGCGAAACGTTTCGACTTGCCGTGTGACAATTCGTAATTTGTCGCTTCCTTGACGAAAGAACGTAACTACAAGTAAACTTGAATGGACATGTTGCATGTGTGAGGGATTTGCGATTTCACCATTGATTCTTATGTAAAAGTTCGCGAGAAACACGATAGTGCCACTGGTTTTCTCTGAAATCAACTCCCAAGCTCAAAAAAAGCTCTCAAAGTGAGGCCAAAATGGAGGGGATATCCCACCCTACCCAGAGAGTCCACGTCTACATCAAAGAAAAACTCTCCATGCAAAGATATGGAGCAAATACATTAGCAGGGTTGCCGTGTTTTCAGTGTTGGAGTCCCCAAATGAAGTGGCAGCCGTGTCAATGTATTTGCTCCCTATCTTTGCATGGAGAGTTTGTTTTGATGTAGAGGTGGACTCTCAGGGTAGGGCGGGATATCCCCTCCATTTTGGCCTCTTTTTGAGGGCTTTTTTGAGCTTGGGAGATGATTTCAGAGAAAACCAGTGGCACCATCGTGTTTCTCGTGAACTTTTACATAAGAATCAATGGTCAAATCGCAAATCCCTCACACATGCAACATCTCCATTTGTCGCTTCCCTGACAAAAGAACGTAACTACAAGCAAATTTGAATTCTGCAAGATTTTAACCTGTAAACTGTGTTTTTACTTACCAGGAAACTGCTGGTTGTTTCCACCTAAAATTTTCCCTGGTTTTTCTTTTAATTGCACGCAAAAATCAGCGTTTAGGACAGAAATAGCACTGTCACATTCTTGCAAAAAATTTAATTGTTCGAGTCAATTTCGTAATCTTCAAATGGAGGTACGATTTTTCGTCTGGATAGCGACAAATTCGATCCCACAGTCCATAAGCGGCGCACACAGGGTCGAATCAATAGGAGAGGTTGGACAAACTTTGGAAATTTCAAACGCATATAACTCAGTTTATACACAGCTTTGAGGTTCTAAAAGAGCTTCCATTGGTTTCCTCGTGAAATTTTCTTCGTTGAGTATTCCTTAAAAATTAAAATGTGACGAAATAAACATCAAAATTTGCAGGTTTAGTCAGGGCCGGATTTACCTACTCGCCGCCCATGGGCCGCCTGTGTTTTGCTGCCTCCTTCTCATTCGTATTGAAACATCAATAAAAACCATCAAGTGAACGTGCCAGCGGGGGAGGGGTGCATAAGACGCGTTTACTCGTGTTGAACACATGTTTTGGGAATGCCCTGTCAAACTACTAGCAA